TGCTTTTATATTTTAACAATGCAGAAGAACATAATATCTAAAATCCTTATCTGGGAGACTAAACTGTTGCCTGCCAGATTCCTATCACTCCTTCCCATCTCTACTTTCATTCACATAGTTTCACTTTCTTTCCCCTATTATATCCTTTCTCTGTGTGATTTTTGCCTTCACTGGGTATTTTTAAAGCGAGTTCAGAAATTAAGGAAATGTTTTGCAAATTCTCAGTATCAACATCCTGCAGTGTCAACAAGGAAGGTCATCTAGCTGTGTGAGGATCAAGTTTTTTTGCTGTCAAGACCTGTTACTTGCCAAACCTTAAGAGGACTAAATCCTCCTGAAACTACAGCAGGAGACAAACTCACTGATAAAGTACCCCTTCATAAATTCCTACAAACCCCAGGTATCAGTATTTGATCTTCTTTAATTCTTGGAATGTCAACACCCCCAGGTATGAGTCTTTTAACTCTTCTATAGAAATACATCTGTGGTAAGACAGCAGAATACGCAGCAATTAAAAAATAACCAGAAAGAGCATATAAATAGCTACTTGTGTCTATGACAGGTGGAATTGCTGGCAGAGTTCAGGATGGGGGCTGGCAGGCTGCAGATTCACCCATCTCAGGGCATACACAGTTAAGCCAACAGAAATAGTCAACAACATATTCCAGGTAACTTCAGCTCAGCAACAGCGTGAAGGTGAAGACTTAGCACACATAAATGGGATTTAAAATCTGCAAACATGACTGGAACACATGTCAGGGGATGGACATAACACATATCGGGAGAGACTGACATGTGTAGGAACATTTCATTACAGCAACCAGGAGCCTTAAGAACCATTTAAAGGGTTGGGTTTTTATTCCAACCCTTTTCCATGGCTGTTTTAGAGCATTAATAGCCTACAGCTCTGAATTTGGCAGCTTACCCTTGTTAATAATCAGAAGCTGCTGCTAATCAATTCCTTTAAGCAACAACTATGCTGGAAACCGAAAGTCTGGCTTGAGGAACTGTAAGTCATGTGATTTCTCAGCACAGCTGTCTAACACGGACGACCTTTAGAAGATCTCTAAATAATTCCTACTCAGGAAAGTAACCAAAAGGGGGAGTGGGGGTGAGGGAGGCAGAAGGGGATAGTGGGGAGAGAGCAGGGAGCAGGAGGTAGGAAGGAATACTGAATTAGCATAAAAGTCTTTAAAACTTTGTTATTTAAGGAATTCACTATGAATATGATATTTATTTGGGAAAAGAAGAATTTTAAAGAAAAACTAATGGTGTGTGAAGCCAGCAGTAATCAGGCTTACACTACTGCTAAAATGACAGCTTCATTTCCTTGTACTTCCACACTTTTAGCTACTCTGCATTGTGTCAGCCTTATATAACCAGTCATCATTCACTTTAATGTGTCATGTTAAAATAGGCCACAAGCCCTGCTGATATCTGAGAACACAATTTTGGTTATTGTGCTACCTAACAAACAACAAAAGAATTAGATGAAGGTTTTTGAGAGATTTGCTCCCCACTTGACTTGTCTGAAGAAGTGATAGACTTTTCTGCAGAGCTGGTGGAATTAGAATATCCACTGGAAGTGCATTCTGCATAAACATTGGGTCTGAAATGAATTATTCATCTGATAGATTTGGTTCCTCCATGAAAAATTTAAACATTCTTCACCATTCAGTAGGACAAAGAGACAGACACTAAATCAGGGTGCCAGCCTTTGGACACTGAAGTTATATCTGAACTGAAATACTTATGAGCTTATGAGGAGCAGTCTGCCTCCAGGCACCACCATTACTGTTTCAAGCAGGAAGTTTCAGCCCTGAACGGAAGTGCAAGGTTCAAATTAAATAAACTTTTCAGAGTGCAACACTGGAGTTCTCTTCAAAACCATCTCCAGAGGACATTGAAAGACTGGTAACATCAAATCCAACCAATTTCAAGAGCCCTGGAGCTTTTCACATATTTTGTAGAGTTTCAAACATGAAATACTTAAAGTTCAGACTCATAATAGCTTATAGCTCTTTTCCCTTTTAAGGACATTCATGTAGCATCCATAGTCCACTAACTTGAACATAGATGACATGACAGTATCCTGCATGCAAAACCTCTGCTTACAGTCTGGCAGAAATTCATGTCCAGCATTTCTCCATGCGAACTCAGCAAGTAACCACCCAAAACTGTTTCCCCTCTTATCCACAGGATGTTCTTATTCCTGTGGATAAGAGGGGAAAGAGTTATGGATGGTAGAGGAAGATCAGTCCCACAGTGTGTCCCTATTTATGCAGGAAAAAATCTTGTATCTATATCATAGGAGAATAAAGTAATAAAAATAGCAATTTTGCAAACGTTTTCCCCTTTCTAAAGCACACTCATGCTTCACACTGCTGTTGAGGCCACAGGCAAGGCCAGGAGCAGCAGCATTTCTCTGGTGCTTTGTACTGCCTTTGGACTACTAAATCAAGGCTATTAAAGAGGAACAAGTGTGCCTTAGCTGTACCAATAAAATTCCTCTCAAGATCATTATCAAGAGCCTCCATGAAAGGGCAGTTATGATGTGTCTGTGGTCAGTCCTAGCAGTTGCAAAAAGCATAAGCACTCCAAGCGTGTGTCGCTGCACAGTCACGAGGTAAGATGTCCCTGTCTGCAGCTGTTCTGTCAGGAATGAGGGACAACAGCAGAGCCATTCAGTCTTTGAAACTACTGCTCTTCAAGAAGGAACACAGTCATCATAAGGGAAATATTTAACTCTTCTTAGTATGCAGCGCCCTCTCAGCTTCATATTCTTCCCTGCAACCTTCTGCCAGGAATGTGTGCTAGTAGCCAAAAAGGAGGTTCACCAGCTTTCCCCCTTGGCTTAAGTCTATGAAGCATCAGTTGCCCCATCCCAAAGCACGCAGGAGAAGCCTTCAAAAAACTTCATACCTGTCCCACAAGTGCTAGCCTGACTTACTGATCTCTTTTAAAAAAAGCTTCAGTTAAAATGTCAGAGGTGGTTAGGGTGGTTGGAGTGACAGGAGTTAAGCATCATTTAGCATCTGAATTTTGTTCTCTTGCAGGTAAGACTATACTTTAGCAGCAGGCAAGCAGGTCTTTATAATGTCAACCCAACAATTGCCACAGGTCTGCCACGAGTTCATGCTTCTATACTGTCAGTGGTGGCATAAACATAAATTACATGTCCAGTGTGCAATGCTACTGCAGATGTCCTATTGGACAACAATATGTGTCATAACGCAGCACGATATTTGCTGTGTGCAGGAGTCCATAAACAGGACACTGAATTTTGTCTCCAAGGAAAAGTTACTGTAACCAAAAGAGAGGAAGGCAGAGTAATTCCACCAGCCTGCTCTTTCATGCTGCAACGAGTAAGGAGAGCATATAGCCTTCACTTTGCAGAGGCTTTTGCTGTGAAATGGTAACTCATGAAGACTTTGGAGACACTTTCGGGAATAATTATGAAACATTTCTGGTTTGTGTCAATATCTTTGTGGCAGGTATTTACCATTAGTTAAACTAAGGCAGGCAGGCAGGTATTTACTCATTTGTGTACATCAAACTTTCATAAGCAGGGAAAAAATTGCTTTGAGTCTCATAAACATTTTACTCATATTGAAATATTTTTTATTTGGATTTAAGGTTTTTTCTCTTTCTAGGAAAAAATTGTTTCTTACTTTTGATTCAAGCTAGACATTTTCAAACTCTGTTCTAGTACACGCATGTTGACTCAAAACAATTCAAAATCCCTTCTAATTTGCTCTTTGCTTTCCAGAGTTACTTTTTAAGTCTAAAAGACCAAAGGAATTTTTACTGTGATTCCCAACTTGCCCAATTCTCTGGGTTTCTGTGGCACTGCAAGAATTCTTTAGCACCAAACAGTGGGAAAATACAGTTCCCAGTAATAAAGTGCTCCTCAGGCCTACCCAGCACAAGCATGGGCAAGATCCAGCTGTGAAAAACTAACTGCTGTAGTCAGTTCAGAGGGGAAAACTCCCCTGCATACCTTTTTCAAAGAAGGAAGTGTTATTCCTGGTCTGAAGCCCTCTAGATTGATTATCTTGTTGCTTTACTCAGCTGGGGACCAAGACTGCAAAATGTAGTGAGCAGGAAGGCAGAGTAACATCGATGGGCTAGAGAATATGTGCTGGTAGGTGGTACCTTTTTTAAAGTAGGTTACACTTGCAGAAATATGCAGTGTTGTTGCATTATGTGTAGCAGACAGCGCAGCAGAGTGAGTAAAAGTCACCATCAAAGATTCATAGGTGAGGAATAAAAGCTGATGAATGAATTGCATCTGCAACTTTGATTGAAAAGCAGAGCTGAAACCTCAGATGGTTCAACTTAAAAGCATGTCACAGAATTTAATAAAATTATTCTGAGACCTAGCTGGCTCTCTATTTTTATTTCAGGCCTTAGGTCCTAGGGGGTAATAACCACTTCAATGTCAGTTTATTTTGGCATTCGTAAAGCAGGAGCTGATGTCTGGTAGCAGCCCAGATCTGCAGCACCTTCCCTAGCAGAGGAAGTTCACACCACAAGGGCAGCATGTTTTTGAAAACCCTCAGAATGAGATCACAGTTTGCAATTATCACATTTCATTGTATGCTTTTTAAATTAATATCCCAAACAAATACCTCTCCACAAAAAGCATTGTTAAGTAATTAAATCATTCTGCTTTGCAGGTCAATAGATTTTTTACCCAGGAAATGCAAGTATCACAAGTCTTAAATCAAGAGGAAAAACAGGTTGCCTGGTAGCAATGAGCTAGCAAGAGAGCTCTACTTTGTTCTCGAAGAGAACACAGTGGTGCTGGGAGTGAATGCTTCTAGAAAACTTTGCCCATTTGCAGCTCCTTCCAGCTCTGAAAGCCAAGCATTTACAGAAGGGTTAAAATCTCCAACAAAAGACAGACATCAGGTAACAGTATCTGAAACCCTGTGAGGAATCCCAGCACCTTCCTATGTTCAGCAGCCTCTATCAGGAGGATGTTCTACTTATTTCCTCAAAGGGGATCTCCCCAGAGGAGTGCTGGTATCTCAATTAGCTACTTTTCACCTGGAGCAGCTCCCACCTGTATGGACTGCATAATGCAGTTCAAGAGAGGGATGCAGCAGTGGGGTGCTTCAATCGTGAACATTTTGCCAATATTCAGCAAGCTATTCAATTTGCAGGTGCCAGAAATTTGTACATGGGCAAGGGGACAGAGGAAACATTGTGGCTTTATGTTACTACGACCAGCTTTTCTGCTTCCAGTCAATTTAAAGGTAAGCAAGAGCTGATTAGCCCTATTAGCCTAGAGCGGTGAAGCAGAGATGAGTCAGTTTTGCCTCTTTTTTAAATCTCTTGAGAGAGTCCTTTCACAGCCACTTGCAATAGTCCTGGACATGTGTCCACTGCAGTTTCCTTCAGAGTGAGTCCTCACTGCTGTCAAATGTTGGATTGCTATGGCCTCCCACACTTCCCTCTACTGTTATTGTCACGGAATCTGAGAAGAGGGTATCATTCAGAGGTGGCCAGTCTGAGTCCTGCTCTAACACATGCTGCAGCCTCTTGTAGTGGCTCTTTGAGTGGTACCGGAAGGTCTTTTTCAGAAGCAGCCACAGGGGTCTGTTCTCGATGACAGCTTCCTGCAAAGGCAAAAGCAAGAGGAAGATTTTAGAGGATCTGGACAGCAGTTTTCCCTTTTCATCCATGCTACACAGACAGGGCAAACAGTGGAGACCTAGGTCTCTGACCACTTCTCACACCAGCTCCACCAGAGCTCTCCAAAAGAAAACTGTGACCAGCTCCTACTGGCAGTTTTCAGGATCAGAGTAGAAAATACCAAAGATTGCCCATATTTTCCTAGCCTGGGGCAGGGCCCGATAGACTCTGCTCACCAGAGGTGACCTGGCCTTGCATTCCCTTTCATCTCATCATTCAGATGAGGCACTTTGAGGAAGGGGAGTAAGGGTGAGGTAGCAGCAATTACTGCTGTTTTACTAGGTATTCCCAAGACTGGGCTGAGGAGGAGGCAGAAAGAGGGAGACCTGACCCTTTCATCTCTCCAATTGGTGCTGACCAGTTCATTCAAGGAGGCACACTCACCTCGACAAGGAAGGACACAGCAAGTGTGACTGCAAGCATTACCACCATGGAGATCCGCCATGTGGTGGGGGTGCAAACAAGCTGTGAAAAAAGCAGGAGCTGTTTAGGAATGTGAGCCCACAGTAGACACTGGTGGGTACTTGTGTAATAGAACATGGAATTATTTAAGTTGAAAAAGACCCTTAAGATCATCTAGTCCAATCATTAACCTGGCACTGTAAAGTGCACCGTATCCCTAAGTGCCACAAGTATACTTCTTTTAAATACTTCCAGGGATAATGACTCAACTACTTCCCTGAGCAGTTTGTTCCAGTCTGTAACATTTTCAGTCAAGATTTTTTTCTTAATCTACAATCTAAACCTCCCTTGGCACAACCTGAGGCCATTTCCCCTCTACGATTTGTTACCTGGGGAAAAAAAAAAGAAAAAAAAAAGTGACACCCACCTTGCTACAGCCTCCTGTCAGATTGCTATAGAAAAAATTAAGGTTTCCCCTGAGCCTCCTTTTCCCCAGACTAAACAAGCCCAGCTCCCTCAGCCACTCCTCACACAACTTGTGCTCCAGGCCTTCACCAGCTTCATGTAATAAAAAGCCAGAATCCCACGCTGGCTGTAGACTGTACACTACCTGATGAGCTAATATTGTTACTTGTCTTGAGGAATTATTGATAAAGATGCTTTTAAACCTATGATGGAGTAGAGAAAACAGAGAAAACTCTACTGTACAACTGCAATAGAAAATCTGCCTTTTCTTTCTAATGTAAGAAATAGTTCAAAATCTGAGTATTTTCGCTCCAAACCCAGTTCCAGCTTCCCACAGCTGGAAGCACAAGCTTTCTGGTTGTAGTTCAATTTCTTTTGGAGATAAAGCTCTGACCCAAAATTTTTATAACCAGTTTCTTCAGGTCAGGCTATTGCAGAGTTTTTTATTACCACTCCACCCTTTTCTCAGCAAATTCACCTTATTCCAGTGTATTCCCTCCCAACTGCCTGGGCTGGGAGTTTTGTAGTCCTCCCCAAAAGCATTTTAGCCCCTTACAGCTGCAGTGCTGACTATGTCCTATGCCACCACCATCCACAACAGGACTAAGACTTGCTTTAAAGTGCCATGTCGTGGCAGATTCTCTAACTGGGTCTGCCCGCTGAGCCGCTGCTCTGGAAACAGTAACACGGTGAGGCAGCTTTTGCTGGGCTGTTTGGCATTTAAAATAGAGACCCATACCCTTTGATTATGTTCCTTTTTCTGTGTTTCATTATTTCCATTTCTAAATTGACTTGCTAACTATCATACAAACATACAGGACTGAACGCAGCACCCTGTTCTGTACTTATTATTCAAAGCCACCACATGTCATCTTTCTGATTAGAAATGTACAGAAAAAATAGCTGTGAGTTACTTTTGTTGTTTTGTTCCTGTCACACCTACAGCAAGACTGTGAGAGTGTCACAGTGGAGGAGGTTAACATCTCCCAGTCTTGACATACCAGTTGTCACGTCCACTGACAACCCTGTCCTATATCTGATGTAGATCTTGTCCTTCTCTCACATTTTCCTTAGGATGGACTTGCACAAGACTGTGCAGTACTTTAAATTTGCAGAGCTAACCCCATTCTTGTCCTGGCTTCACAACTATCAAGCCACCAACAGACCGAGCATTGTAAGCTCAGTGATGCCATTTTCTATTGCATAGAAAATGTGCTGAAGCAATCCAAAGTACATGTGTAGCTGTCCAGCTGTCACAGTGCATAGATCTTAGTTTAGAGTCATCATGAAGGTTCTACAACACCTTCATCTAAAATCCATCTCTTTAAATTCGATTTGTCTTTAGAGGAGCCATGTATCCCCAGAAAACTCTATGCCATTTGTTAAAACAATCTCTCTGCACTTATGATGGGACTGGTAGTAGGAAGAAACTTTCTCCCTCCCTTAGAACAATACTCACATCCATCTTAGAGTAGAGATCATCAATATCAGCAAACATCAAGAAGAGGCAAATGCCCAGCTGCCCTATGAGCACCAGTATGAATACATCTGAAGGGACAAGAACAGACAAATTAAGCCACACATTTGTGAGCAATCTCAGCTTCTTGCCTTTATCATAGAAAATAGTAATAATTTTCTGTGTGACACAGTCATCAAAAGAATCCATGAGATAGAAAGGAACTTTCAGCAAAAGAAAAATGAACAGAGTAAAACACCAGCTTTACTCAGTCATGTATCTACACGTGAGGGGGGGACAAGCCTTGTAGCCACAGATTTAAAACACCAAATAGGTATTTTGAATGTTTGATGTGACCTCTCACATCTGAGAAGCTTTGCAGCCTTCCAGCGAGTCTCTCTTTGAGCTCAGTATCTCCTGTCATTCAGAAAAATGTCTAGAATGTTGTCTTGATCTTGTTAATATGGTTAGGGATTCTGTCCTCAATTTCAGTGATATTGAGACTTTGTTCTTGATCAGGATCAAAAGAGTCTAAGTAATGGACAATCTATTGCTCTCTCCATCTGTGACCTGTAGGCAAAGCTTCCAATAATGAGTAAATTAATTTTCTCTTCAGCTGGTATGCACCAAATTTCACTCTCCACCTACTATTCTTTTTTTGCCTTGTTCTGGGAGACTGATGACCCACTTTTCTGCTATCTGGGAGGAATGTCCCCTCCTCACTGTTACTATACCAAAACAGCAAAGCTATGAAACCTGCAGCATTAAAGTTAATCTTAAGTAAAAAAATAAAAAGCAACTGAAGAGAGCTTTGCCTGAGAGACTGTTGCCAGGATTTGTCCCACACAGAAAAAGAATAACTCTTCCATGCTTCACTGAAACTTCTGGAACTGCCTCCTCTTCCTTCCACATGACAGTCTTTCAGATGTAGAAAAAACCCTATTAGACCTCACTACAGCCCCTTCAAGTTTTTGCATCCCGTGATGTTTCCTCTTTGCAGAAATTACTGGTCTTAGAGTTAGCAAATGCTAAACATCTCTGGTTCTGGAATGGAAAATGGGACTCTGCAAACATTTAGATGTCATTGAATGTTTTCTTCTGAGATGGGTCCAAAAGAATTCTCTGAATAGTAATTCGCTCGAATACTGCTCAACCAGCATGCCCTGGGGAGAGAGGTATAGAGCTCTTCCAGAATTATTCTGAAGACTGAAGTGAGACCACCTAATCTCTCCTTGAGATGTCTCATTTAGGCTGCCTCAAGTAACATGATGCTTCTGTCAGCAAACTTTCCTGCTGCTCCTTTTGTCTTTTTCAGAAATCCAAGTGCCAGGCCCAGGATCTTCGCATTACAGAAGAGAGCTGCTGGTCACTGGATACCACTGGCATTAAAAAAGTACCTGAACAGGTGGCTTTTAGTCATTGAAAAATCTAGTATGAGGCTCCTGATTTTTTGATTGGCATCTTTTTGATCAAGTTTTAATTTTTCCCTAGTGAATTGACCTCCTGAGTTGACTTATACATCCCTTCCTCTCTCCCCATACTTACAGTTTGTGTAGATGGCTTGCCTGAAAGGCTTTCCCTTGGAAAACACTAATGCTACAATGAGGCAGTTGATGGTACTCAGCAGCCACACTGTGGTGTTTTCATAGCTCCTGTAGCCATTGTCTGTTTGTTCATGGGCTCCATCTCTCACCCCATGGAGCCCCAGGCTGTAGGAAGAATTCTCCATGTGATTCTTCATTGAGAGGCAGCCACTGAAAAAGAGTGTCACACTGGTCAGCGAATGATGATTGTTCTGGTTATTTCCCCCAACTTCTACTGTAACTGAGGAATCCTCCCTCACAGCCGTGATATAAGTTATTGGCAATGCCCCCAGTCTCACCCTCTGGTTTCAGCTTGCTCAGTAGCTCAAACCTACTCAGATACCCTGGCCTCTCTTGCAATCAAATCCTTCTCTTTGTGCTCAGCAGAAGCATTCCCACCATATGCACTGTGCTGTGTGGCAGATTGCTGGAGAGCTTAGGGACCTGCAGACAACAGTGGTTAAAATGTTTGCACCCTGTGGGGAGCACAGGGTCTGCCTGCAGCTGCTGATCGGCCTGCAGTTAAGCTGATCAATAGTATCATCCACTAGGTCAACCCTGTGTTACTAAGAATCCCAAGAAGGTGACCTACCGGTGTAAATCAGTCTTGGAATACCAAGGCTGCTCCTGGACCACCACAAACCCGAAAATCTGCATGCTGAGGCTGAAGAGGATGTTAAGTACAACAGAGAGCAGCAATGGGGGTGAGATAAGCTGGCTTGGAGGCCTGTAGGGAACCAGCTTTGGGTAGGCACCTGTGAAACTCACTGAAACATGCACAGAAATATTTACTAGTGTGTCCAAAATACAAGCAGTGCTGCTGTACAATATTGTTATCAATGGCCAGCCTATAATATCCATTATAAAACATACGAAGACCATATATCAAGTACAAAATACAGAGTTGTTTTCTTACAAAACCTTATTGACACAGAAGAGGCTAATTAATGGCATCTGACTATCATGAGGCATATTTTGAAAATAAAATATTGGATTTTTCTTTTATTTTCCTACTGTCAGTCCCAAGGATATAAACATACTCATGCTCTCCTATTCTCTTTCTATCACTTGTCAACTGTGGCGTTGGATTTTCTGCTGACCATGTTTTGTGCATCCTCCTGGACTGAGTGCCTAGTGCCTGCTTATTTGAGCTGGAGGAAGACTCCATTCACTGACACAACAGGTTTCCCTATGTTCTTAAATTTAACAAAGTTATCCAGACTTTGTATATGATGATACATATTGATACAATATTCCAGATGGGCTGCTTACAGCAACGTAGCTTTTAGTATCCAGTATTGTGGTTGACAAGAGGCTTGTGGTTTTTAGGCTTGATTTAACCAAAGTCTTTTCCTGTCGTCTGTGTTCAAGCAAGGATGGAACACACCAGGACGTGGTTTTAGTGTACGCTCTTCATGGCCCTGTCCCTGCCATTCCTGCTTCTAAACCTCTCCTTGCATTTATTCCATCTCAACAACATTGTCTTTCTGCCTCAACACTGGTTTCCTCTCATTCTTGGCTTACAACTTCTTGCTCTATAATGTCTGATATCTATAATTTCTTTCTTCTCCATTTTCACCTCTCTTTCCTTTTGTGGCTCTTGCCTATACAGCTTCAAGTGTGAAATGGTCTCCAAACAGTCAATCCTTACACTTTCTCATTTGGGCATGGAGCCTTTGGTATCCCCTTAATCTGCCTTCCTAAGTCAACTGGAAAAAGCCTGAATAGACTTTCTACTGCATAAGGTGTCATTTTACTCCTTCTAGAGATAACATCCCAGTTAGCAACAACCTACATGCTCAGCAAATGCACCACTAAGAATTACCCATCTTACTTCAGAGCTTTTCTCAAACAAGATCGCTCTTCTACTAATCTAAACATCCTCTACCAAGAGGATTACTCTGCAGGATGTTTAGTCACCTTTTCATCCTTTCTATACACAGAATCATGCATTCCCAAGGAGTGAAAAATATCTGAGATCATTCTCTCATTAATACATAAGATGACCAAGGGTCTTACTTGTCATGCCAATGACAGTGGTAATAGCCAGATCTTGAAACAAAAATTGGTAATTCCCAAAGGAGTTTAGTTGCTGAAAAGAGGAACACAAAGTAAAAATATCACAAATAAGATATTTGCCATGGACTTGTTTATATCATCTCCAGAAAGCCATACTATATCCTTGGAGATAATGCTCTGCTGTTTGTTTTGAAATGCTACTCTGCATTTCAGATAAGGGGACTACACATTTCACCACCCTGCCAATAGAATTGTCACCATTGGGCCTGCAGTGAATACTCCCATTTTGCACATTTTTTGAAATAACTGTGCTTCCAGTTCACTCCATGCAATAGAAGAGAAGACTATTTGAAGTGACGTGCTTTCTCACTGCTGGGTAACTTCTGAATTCAAAGCCCTTCTTTCCATCTGGGAAGAAGCCATGCAAAAGTGGTTTAAGGCTTACTGTCAAGTAAGTTCATGGTTTAAATGCTGAATAAATTGCAACAGCATATGCTTACACCAGATTCTTCCTTTCCAAAACACCACTCAGTATCTCAGCCTTCTTTTTGCCCAGCTTGGATCTTGAGCCCACTGGCTGAAGTTAATGGAAAGAATCTTTCTGATTTTCAGCTGAGGGTACAGGAGGACCATATGATCACACCACAGAAGTCTGCCACTCAGGTAAAGGTAAAGCTCCATACCCTAGTTTTATAGTGGCTTTTATGCCCTATTTCTCCTACAGGGGAGTAGTAGCTCACCCAGTTCTAGCCAACATGTTCCCAGTACATACCCAGTAAAGTAGGAGAACACCAAGGTACTGAATTGTGCTGTACAATGCCATGTACTTGAACATGCAGAAGGAAGTGACAAGAGCAGCACGGCCTTCCCTGTGTGAAGACATGAATAAAAGACAGCAATTAGGTGAGGGGTGCTCCTGTCGCTAGTCCTCTCAAAAGGCTGCTGAAAAACAAGGTATGTGTCACAAGCAGTGAAGTCTGCCAGTATCTTGCTGGGAGGTGAAATAAATAAAATCTGGCCTGAATGAAAGTGAAATCTTCACTTGCAGATATCTTACTACAAGGAAACAGGCTTGATTCTAGTCATCTTTGTCCTGTAGAATATAATTTACCCAGCAATTTTTTTCTGCTGATATTAACAGTGCAGGTAACAACTCCATTTGAGGGGAAAAAAATTGGAAGCCAAGCAGCTGCTTAGTGAGTTCAAGCTAACGAGTCCTCTCCTGCAGTGAATATGTAGTATCTGAAAAGGGCAGCACGCTCTCCCTGCCCCAGAAAGCAAAACCAGGATCCTGGCATAACAGATGCCAAGTTTTCCTTGCATAGGGTATCAGAGAGGGCCCAACAGTAGTGTACGGGTTGGTTTGTGGACATTTGATTCAGCTTTATGGAGCATTGGTTATTTTGCTATGTTTTTGCATTTAAAATACTGTTTATGATGTAAGCTCAACTCTAAATGCCCTCCTCTTGTAGTTTTGAGGTAATTAATGTACCTTAAAGGAATTTCAGAAGGGGACTAAGCAAATGGCAATTTCAAGGTCAAAGATATTTATTTTTCTCTAGATATGCATATTGTGGCTTGCTGTGAACACCCAACACTAATATTTGAGAGGAGTGGGAACTGTCTTCTTTATGAAATAGGGAACAAAATTCTGTGCTTACCTGATTAGCTCTGGCACACAGGCTATGCTGGGGATTCGGGATGTGAAAGGTGAAGCCACGGACGCCTCCTGCTCTGACAGTGATATCCCTGCATGTGCCACTTTCAAAGCCTGAAAGTCATATTCTTCTTCAACACTTACAAACCAGGAAGACACAGCAACTCATATGTCAGCCAAGCAGTGATCCCTTATTATAGGATGTGTGCTGTGAACAGCAGTCCCTCTTTACTCCCTATGTGTGCTCCACCCAGGGGGTTCCTCCAGCGGAATGCGGTGAGGCATTGGGACCAGGAAAAGAATGGTGATGAGAGCATTGGCAAGTTCATTTTCCACACACCTCAGAGCCATCCACTACCAGCTGCAGAAGACAGGTTTGGCTTTGCCTCTTTTGCCAGCACTTACGTGCTGTCACACCTCATGCAGATAGTCTAGGTTCTCTGCTTGCTTCCCACAGGAGAATCCTTGGGCCTTTGTGTTAGGACAAGCAAGAGCTGCACTGCTGATGTGGCATTGCTCTCACTGCATGAGGATGCATGAAGTCATGGAGAGATCTAAACATGTCCAGAAGGGAGTTATGGGTTCCTCCTGAACATAAACCCTTCCTTTTGGAAATACAAAAACGAAAGCTTTCCTGCATTTCTAAAATGTTTGTTTACAAAAGCCTTGTAGGACTACAGCTGTTCTCCATGAAAACTCCTCACTTGTCTTCTCCAACCCCAGACACTGAAGATATTGACATAAACCCCAGTGGAGGATTTGGAGAATTTTCTGGTGTTTTTTTGCCAAGAAAATTAATCAGTCCTTGAGATCACACACTGCAAAAATCTCTGCCTAGGACAGCATGGTAAGGACCGCACTGTAGGATCAGGTCTAAATCAATACTGGTGACAGCACAGCTTCTCTGTGAAGAAGCAGTGCACTCCCATCCCTAGCATGTGCTCACTTTGGAATATTCCACTGGCATTGCATTCATTTCTCATTTTTAAAATAAATGAATTTAAAGAATTTTCACTTACCCCACAGTCATTGGCTCCATCTCCACACATGCCCACAAAGTAACTAAAAAAGTAAAGTGACCTACAGTTCAGTTCCAAGGAAAGTGAGGAATCAGAGCCTGGTCCGTACAAGTTATTTATGTTAGTCAGGCAAGATTTTTGTTAAAAACCTTTCTGGAAAGCCGAAAGACCAAAACATAAGCCCAGGACTCTGAATTGTGCATGGGCCTTGGGCTTGCACCTCGGGTATGACTACAGTAAAGTTTCTGCTGTGACGGAATAAAGAACGTATTAGCATGAAGCTTTACGTTCCCTAGAATGGACTTGGTCTTCTTGATTTTAAGGTCAGTCACACCAGAGGACAGGGCTAATGGGGACAGCCCTGTTCAGAAAAGAAGGACTGCAAGCACAGGTACCTCATGAATGGAGACTCTGAGGTCCAGTACTGCCAGAATCGCCTGGGAGAGATAGGGAATGACAGGGACAGCTGGAGTAGATGGAAAAGGACAACATGAGTTTAACAGGATATCTAGAGATAGATCCCCACTCTGAGGCTGAAATAACCTTGCGGAATAATGAGCCCTGAAAGTGCTTTTTACTCCCTAGGTCTGGATTTCAGTGTAGGATAAGTTCTCACTGGAAGGCACTGTTGGTGATCCAGGGAGGCCAGACAGCAGTCAAGGTGCTCACAACTGTGCACACCAGGTTTTTCATCTGAAACAGCCTAAAACTCTTCTTGCTGTAGAGCAAGGCCTGGGTCTAGGTGAGGTGAGGGTGAGGGTCTTCAGTAGACTTGGGAAACAGCTGAAAAACAGGCAACAAGAAGCCTGATACTCAAGAATATATATACACCTCTGTGACTGTGAGCAGTACAGTGCATACCAATCCAGACTGCCCTGCCACGTTTTCTAACCCATCACACTGAGCCAGCAGTAGTGCAGTAAAAAGACTGCAAGTATCAGAGAAGCTACAGTGCTGGGAGATATTCCTAAAAAATCTTAGGGACACAAGTGCCCCTCCTTCAGACCCAGAGAGGAGTAACAATGAAGACTAATGTGAACAACAAAAGCGAGAATCATGGGAGTGTTAAATCTTCGATAGGTTGCCAAACCAGCAGGGAGTTCAGCATCTTTTTTAACAGGGTTTTGGATTTTAATTGCGAAGTTGTTTATCTGTGGGAGTTTCAGTTTTGTACATTTCCATGAAACACTATGTTAGACTTCTTTCAAGCCTGGAAATTCAACTACCATGGGTTCAAGTGCCTGAATTTTTGGTAATAGGGGGCCATAGAGATAATTTCAATTAGAAGCTGCTAGAAGCTTTTGCTATTCTATGAAAAAGCCAATGATAGCTAGCTCCAGAGTAGACTTCCTACTACTAGCCAATAATATTCGCTTCTGTGATAACATATTTAAGAACACAGGAAGAGAAGCCTGTGTTGCAGAAGAAGTTTCAGCTGGAGAAGAGAGCAAAGGAGAACATGAGATAGCAATGTAGACTCCAAGGTCTACAGGAGTAGGGGGAGGAGAAGGCTGAGAAGGTCTCCCTCTCCCCCTCCAGCAGGGGAAAGACTTAAAGCCAAGACTTCTGCAGCCTGTGGAAGATTATTGGGGTGACGAAACACCACCACTCCCCCTGCAGCTCATGGAGGAGCCTACACTGGAGCAGGTGGATGCACGAGGAAGCTGAGACTCCGTAGGAGGCCTAAGATGAAACAGAGTCTTGCTGGAGACCTGTGGCCCATGGAGAGAAAAACCTACGCTGGAGCAAGTTGTCTCAAGTAGGACTTGTGGCCCTGTGGGGGATCTACGCTGATGCAGCTCATTCGTGACCCAAGGGACAGCAGACTAGGAGAGAACTGTGGCCCAAGGGATGGACCCATGCCAGAGGGGTCTATCAAAGACTGTCTCCCATGGGGAGGGACCCCACAAGAAATAGGGCAAGGGCTCAAAACTATTACCCCCTGTAACCATGGTGAAGACCACGGTGAAGCAAGTTGTCCCCTCACAGCCCATGGAGGAGTAACCCACAGGACAGCAGATTAACAAGAGCTGCTGCCGAAAGATGGACTTAAACAACAACTGACTCCCCCTTCTCTGTCCCCCACACTGCTAGGTGAAGGAGGGAGAACATGGAGGGAAGGGGGAGTGGAAAGAAGGTGTTTTGAGAGAGTTTTATTCTTTTACTTTTTAGTACTTATTCTGTTAGCAATAATTTAGCTTTTAGTTTAAGTTTGTTAGCAATTAATTAAGGTTCTATTTATTTTAAGTCTGTTTGCCTATGAGAATTAGTAAGTGAATGTCCCAGTTCTTATCTCTACTTAGGAATTCTCTGATTGTTTGTGGGTTTTTTTGCCTCTCTCCTCTGAGAAGAGCAGAGAAGGCAGGAGGGGGAAAAATGGTTTTCAGTAAGTGTTTAAAATCTGACCGAAGTCGAAACCACAACATCAACCAACACTTTCAAACTCATTATGAACTTACTCCAACTTTTGAAACTCTTCTACCAGGCTGGATTTCTGACCAGGGGACATTCTAGCAAAAACTGTTCCGTTCAGCAGGAGCTGTAAGGAGAAAAAAAGGAAATTATTTTTAAAGCACTTGAAGTAAGTTGTTTCAGTGATGATCTGGAATAGAAATCACAAAAAAATCATTTTTATAAACAACTCATTCTAGACTGTGAAGTAGGAAATGCTGATAATCAAAGATAAAATGGCTCTTAATCAATATTTTGAAAAAATAACAGTCACAATAAGGACAAGAAGCCTAGTATGTCATTTAAGTTACCTGATGAAAACATATTACCAGGCAGGCAGTTACAAGAAGAGAATTCATGAGATCATCCTCTCCATGACACAGACAAGCCATGCTTAATGTGTAATACCATGTTTTCTCTTGTTCTCCAAAACTGGGTAGAACCAGTGCCGTGCAAGAGCCAGGCATATGGGCACAAATGTTTTAAGCCACATCCTCACACCACGAGACAGCTCTGCTCCTCTCATGTGCAGAAAAAAAATTGGGGATTTTTAACATATGTTAACGTCAGAGATTCATCTGTTTAGTATTTCAGAGTTAGAATTGTTCCCAAAAGATGTGCTGGTACAGATGCCCTCAGCTAATTATACCAGGACAATTAGAATCTCCTAAAAGGCAAGCCTACACCAGTTAAAAAATCCACATCTTACCTTTGGAAGTAAGTGCCTGAAATGCTGTGCTACAATTTGGTAAGATTTTCCACTCATGGCAAAATGATACTGGCCATGTCCCAGTGCCAGATTGATTCTTCGCTCAGTCTGAAAGTCATCCCCCTATAAAATAAGAGAGAATCAGTGCTGTGTCTAGGCCTTCAAAAGCTGCCCTGTACATTTACACAGGGACTACTACAGACAAAGTAAAGGGTATACAATGGGGTGGGTACTTTTGAAGACTCTGGGAGTCTTGGGTTCAAGGCCAATTGCCTTTGCTTGAATACGTAGAGGGATTGAGGCATATAGTGCCATTAATTTCAGTGTTAACTGGGTGCTTCCTAAGTTTTAAAAGCTGGCCCTCAGCATTGCTGCATTTGCTAAAATTCATGCAACAGTACCAATCTGGTGGGCTCCACTCTGAGTGAGAGGGGGTAGAGAGATAGTATACGGGAACCACATCTAGCCCAATCTTTCTACAGTGAAATACAGTGTAGAGGCAGCTCAGGATAATCTTTGTTAGAAAGGAGCACTCAACAGCCCCTGCAGGTATTCCCTACCATCTGCCTAACTCTTAATACTTATGCAGAGAAAGGTCAACACCTTCATACTTACTCTTCAGGGAGAAAGAAACTGCTTTTCAGCCCAGCTTCTCTGAGGAGATGCTTGATGAAGGAAATTTATTAGTGTAGCTTGCCTATGTTTCATTGTGTACATGCAATTTCTCAACACTTAATCTGTTTTAATTCTGCAGGTTTAGTAAAGTGCTAACTCTCTACCTGCTCGAGCAGGGCTGGTTCAGCGCTCCTCCACTGGTTTTAAGTCCACATCTACACCATCAAATTTATCTTGCAGGGAAAGGAAGCACGCTTTAAACAGGCATCAGCTAAGCATGAGGGCTAGGGACAAATCTTTCCTGGATTTCTGCAAAGCTGTTCTCAAACCTAGATAGGCAGTTAGTAAAAACTTGTTCATGAGATAATATGCTAGGAACTAAGCTCTAGGGGAGTACCTTTTTATAAAGATTCCTTCTTTTTAAACACTTTTCTAGCACATATTTTGACATGCAAAGGATGGTGAATGACAGGTCTCTGTTATTCTAGCACAATTCCACTGTCTTATTTAAAGTATTACAGCTTTGTTTCCCTACTCCAAAACACCTGCTTCTTATGCTTTATGCTCACCAGGTTTCTGCAATCTTCAGTTTGGTTTTCTTCTAGGGGTTTCCAGGTTATAGATGCTGAAACAGATCCAGGTACTTTGTTTGCTTCCACAAGAATCACTCTGTGTGCTGGAGAGATCATCCCAGCATTTTTGGCAACGGTTATAGCTGTCTGAATGTTGTCACCTATAAAAATCAAGAGGTGTGTTATCTAAAAATTTCTGCAGTGAGGAATTGTTTATGGAAGAAACATTAGCCTTTTCCTGAATTCTGAGTTTTCAACTATACCCTTAAGAATCAGTAAGATTTCAGTGTCTATAAGTAAGAAAGCTTCTGATAAAGACCAAAACTTTGCAGATAAGGTCTGTCTCAATCATTAGATGTATTTTCCTCCGGAAAAATAAATATTTCATCTGAAGATGAAGTATTCTCTTCTTCAGCTTGGAGAAAATCAGATGGGGAATATGCTCCTAGATTATTTGTTTTAGACCAAAACCAAAAAGGGATTCACTGCTAAATTGCTGCAGGTATCACTAATTCTCATTGATTGGCCTCAGGTGGCTTTTAAGGTTCAGTGATTTGTCCTGGCAGTGATGCTCCATCTCTGCTCATTTATAACAACAGGATTTCGAGGGGCCTTATAAAGAAGGGACCTTGCATCACATGCCTTTACTAGGTGTCTAACACAGCCTAGTGAAATTGCCAGGGACAACATGGTTCAGCTCATGTCATTATTAAAACATAGATTCTTCTTGGACTAAATATCTGTGCCTTCCTACCAGTGGTGGTGACAACAGCAGACTGTTCACTTAAACACCGTTGAACTCCCTGTCTTGGCCAGTGGCCATATAAATAATCCACCCGATTTAGATACCTGTGGCCATAACGCTCCTGATGCAGGCAGCACTGAGCTCTTCCAGGACAGGTTTTGTCTCCTTCTTTAATCGATTCTCCATTATCAGCAGACCCAGGAATGTTAGATCAGATTCTACCTCCTCCCTTACAGTGAAAGAGAGATAGACAGATTTAGTTCTTCTTCTTGCCTTTGGCCTGTTTTTGTATTGAATTTGATGATAGCCAGTTATCACTGTCAACCATCCTATCTAACTCAAAACCATTAAAATAGTTTCTGTGTTGTCAGAAGTCCCAAGTTTTCTACTTTTTAATAGTGCTATTTCAACACCAGCAGGGCTTGCTTCCCACTGGCAGCAAGTGGTGCTGGTTGTGTATGGAGAATCTTCAATTAATTTTTCATCCTTCTTTTCTCTTTGTTCCTTGTTCTAAAGAAGTTCAGTACGTAGCCAGCTTCCAGCTCATGTCTATTAATTACCAAATCAAAAGAGCCAATTTCAACCTACCTGCTCCACATACCAACATAAAGCCTGACGGATAAGTTAGACTGTTTTCCATTCATGCACTGTCTTTAGACAGCATGAAAAAGCACTCTGAATTTCCTGGAGGATTCCTGAACTGTGGTGATCTGATTTGGAAAGTTTATGTGCACTAGTCATTCTCATTTGAGGACTGTACAACAAAGAAAGACATCTTAGCAAATGTATCTTCTCCTCTTGAAAGTACAGCCTGAGCGAACAGTATGTGGGAAGTCCAATACTGTTTTTCCCTACTATTTTCTTTACATCTTTGGTACTGCTTTTTTTACAGTTGAACACATGCAGTAAAGGAGAGAATTTGGTAAACACCCCATCCCTGAGTCATGAACTAGAGGTCTTCCAGGGACATAGATTGACTCTGAAGAGTCTGAAAAGAAAAGCTTTCAGACACTTATTTTAGCCACTGTAGTAAGGAGAAGGTGATGTCTAACACTTGCATGGCAGTCTGAGCAGCTAAGTTAGGTGATGCCTGAACAGTTACTGCTTTCACTGCAGATCTTGTGTTTGACCACTAGCCTTTGCTTTTCTGCTGGTAGTATATATATCTCACACATGCTGTAACTGGGCCATATCACACACATTTGCTCATTAGGTTGGTTGGGTCTGTTATGACACCTGTCACAAGACTGAAATAACCACTTGCACTCTGCCTCAGTGTCACTGGCCCCTTTAGCAAAGCAAAAAGCCCTGTGAAAAAGCAAGTGAGCTCCTGCAAGTGAGCAGGTCCTGAATTAGGAACTTCAGCTAGCAAAGAGAGAGGACAGCAGATGCTCAGTAACTGCAGATATTTCAGAAGTGGAGTTTCTGGAATATCATAGCCAAAAGCTAGAGGGATTTGGGAAAAACTATATGGATCCATGTGAGGCTTGTGAAAAAGTAATACCATGAGCATAGTAGAGGAGTTTGTTGACTTCTACAGAATCTAAAGAGACCTAAAGCTTTAAAGCTAAAGGATTGGACCAAGGCATAGCAAATGATAATTTGCTGACTTTGACTGGGCTAGAGAACAGTAATGGGGGTCATTTGCTGTCTTTGCTTAATCAAGGAGTCTGGATAACTGGAAAAAAAAAAAGGGGGAGGGAGGTAAAAAAAATACTTCACTTCAACTGAAAGCCTGGGTAAGTCTGCAAGGAGATTGGTAGAAATGATGGATCAAGGGAGGGATGTACTAATCTTCAGAATGTACTAGAGTTATGCTTAATATGTTAATCCAAAGTTAAGAAAGTTAAGAAATGTTCAAGGATTCCTGGTATGTGCTATAAGAGTGCCCTTACCCATTCTCAGACCTTTATCCAGATGTAAATCAGATTCTCTCTGTCCTGAATCTAACAAAACTCTGTACTACAAGTCTGCTCTTGGCAGGTTGTGGTGATGGTACTGTGTGAGGCATCGCTAGCCCATGGTTGAATGTGGCCGGAAGCAGCAGCCTATGGCTTACCTTGATAGAGCAGTAGGCAGCTTCCCTGTCTGTAGAGATTTCCATGCCAGTCCGATCACCCTAAAGCCCTGTGCCGTGTAGAGCAGGAGTTTGCTTTCAAAGTTTGATGGGACTGTGCAAAAGAGGAAAAGACAGTTCATCAGGGCACTTGATCGCTTTCTAGTAGAAGGAAGCTTTGGAGCAGGGAAGGTTTATGTCCCAAAGGGCAAGTAGACCTAGAGTTTACCAGTAGGCCAAGGACATCAAGGAAAGGTGCTTGTGATGGTTTTAGTCTAGGCCTTCCTGGTGACCAGTTTGTAACCAAGGAAGTAGCCAAGTACCCAGTATTCCATACAATTTTTACGTAAACCAGAGTATAAATAAGTCGGAGATTAGAGACCTCGCTCTCTTCTCTTCCGGCGAGGTTTGGGAACAGTGGGTCCCTGCGTTGGTCTCGCTTATCGTAGGCTGAGGCCTGCAGAGTCCACCGTCCTACCACGTGGAGATTTGGAGAGTGCTGGCTGTGACTATTGATCCTGCTGTTCTAAGGGACGTGGTGAGATCTGTTTTGTTAGTTATTAGTATAGTTTGATCTAGTATACCTGTTCAGTGTCCCTTTTGTTCCCTTTCATCCCCTTTTTTCCCTTTCCCTATCCCTTCGGGGGGGGGGGGGGGGTGGACCCCCTTTTACTGTGTATATAGCATATTAACTATACATAACTATAATTTATGTAAATATAGATATATTTTTACATAAGCAGCTTGACTTTGGGTTCTTTAATTTTTATAGTTTCTTTTCCTTTAACCTAAGGGAAAAAAGGAGGGAGGAAGGGGGCTGCTGTCCTAACTTTCGGGCATTTGGCAGGGAGCCAGGTCCAAACCTTCACAGTGCTGAACTGAACTTTGCTCAATAAGAAAATTATTGCATCTCTGTCATGTTGCCCTTAGGTCCTTGTACAAGAGTTGGTAATTACATATATTTCTTAGCAGTCCTTCTTTGCTGAGAAGGGCTGTATGAGAGCTTAGCCTTAGACTTGGAGCACAACAGAGACTTCCTGGGCTGAAGTATCAAGTCTTAGACACAGAAATCTCATTTGGACCTTCCACTTCACCATCCAAAGTCACTTACACATATGTGTTTCTAGGAAGCATTTATAAATGTTAGTTACCTGTTTCTGCTCTACATAGCATGGCTACTATTTCTGGAGCCCCTTTTGTGAAGACCTGTTGATCACCACCAATTTCCTGAGCAATGACAGACATTCTTTGTAAGGATGAAGAAAACGGAAACTGGTGTAAAATGGTAACTCCTTCCACTGGGGCCTAGGAGAAAAGCAAGTGGATTATATACTGCAGCAAGGATTTTAAACTCAGGCAAAAAGATTTTAGTCTGTCCTTTGGGCCATATTAAGAAGCTAACCATGTATAGTGGGCTGATTTGTCACACTTAGACAGAAATGACTGGTATGTAAAGAGGAAATTAAATTTGTACATAAATAGTTACCTTAAGCAGTAGGAAAAGTTCACTGATAGTTTTAGCAGACAATTAGACGTAATTTACTGAAATGAACTCACTAGTCCTCTTTTTTTTTTAACAAGCTTCTGTTTACACTGATCTTGCAAAGGGAAAATGGATGTCTGAAAGCAACCCCCTTGGTGTATGTCACCAGCAAGGGTCTGACACCAGCTACCAGACTCCACTGGGTTCCCAAATGCATTTGGAGATCTTCACTGCTCAGCTGAGTTTGGATTGAGTGTCGAGCCACCAGGACAGGCAAATCCCTGAGCTGAACAATCTGTCATCCAGTATTCCCCTTCTTCTGGTGTGAGCAGCAAGCTCCCTCTGGCGTCTGTAATCAGAGAGAGCAAGGCAATCTCTCTGCAGGCAGGACAGGAAAGATGAAGTGTGGAAGAGCTCTCTTGGACTAGGACAACCAAGCAGTTCTATAATGAAAGGTAAGTCTTACACTGACAGTTTAACTTGATCAATGATGTGAATCTCGCAAATAACTTACAATGGTAGCTTTAGGTCCAGGTCTAACAACCGTGGCATGTGTGGATCCTTCAGTCTGGTATCCATTGGAATCATCTATCACCTGTGTATTGAAAGACAAAAATATTTCAGATCACAACACCACTATAGCTGAAAAGAACCTCAAGGATCTATTTAGAGTATGTGATTTCAAACCTGAAGATGGTAGAAATATCTCCACATTGACAGAGCTCTAACAAATGTCAAAGTCTTGTACCTGGTTCAAACCCGGCAGAAGTCTTTTACATGCTCTGTAAAAGTGATCTTAATCTGTGTGTGAGACACATCTGGGACTTCCTGTTGTCTGGCAGCAGCCAAAGACAGAGTTGTTGTGCCAGTGTGGTTTGCATGACATCCACCACTCCCAGCCAAAGGACCTAAGTGCTCAAAGTACTTCTAGGTGAAAGCTCTAGGCAGAAACAGGGAACATTCCTTCAAAAGCCTGAGTATGCAGTATCTCTTCTGGGTTTTACTTGTGTGGGAATTGGCTATTTGCACGAGACGGCTTGGGACACTTCTCTTTTTTGAAACCACCAAAACACCCTGCCACTGTTTGCATAAAAACAAAGCACAGCTTTACCCAGTTAGTGGTCTCAAACATTTTCACATCCAGTGGGTCTCCTTGGATCTTGCCCTCCCACACAATTAATGAATGACAAACTGCCATTGCTCTGAACACTGGGCCCCAAGGCAGGTTGCGATCTTCAGGGAAGCTGTGAATGTCCTGGAAGCTAACACAGAAAAGAACATAAAAATTACTATTAGAGAATACCAAACAGCATATGACTCACAGGGGAAAAAAAAATCCTAATTTGAGCGCAGTTAAAATCCCATCCTGAGGTCAGACCACAAGCATATTCTGAGGACTTGTACTCCCCCATGAGCTATTTCTTGAGCACCTATTAAATCTGGGATACACATGCTCAAAATAGGTGTATTCTGCCTGGTTAAGTAGTCTGTTGGGATGGATAGGAACAGATTATTTTAAAATACTTTCCTTGAGGCTTGTGCAAGGACTCTTGAGTTCTGAAACTGATATAAGTTTGAGCATCTTTGTGCATGCACGTTTCTGGAAATGTAAGTGGGTAAAATCATGGCCACTGAATGAACTGAATGTCAATCTCATGGTTAACAGTGACTTCCTGTCATAAAGGGTTGGGGCAACACTGCAGCTCTGAGATCTAACATAGCATGTCTACTGCAGACTACCTGCCTGGACATGCTGTACCAAATACTGACAACAGTGGTTGCATCTTTTCATGCGGAGCAGGACCCCTGGGATGAAGCAAACTCATTTTCCAGAGTTTATAAAAATAAAATTGAAAATCTAATTTGAGGAGCTTCGAATTCCTCTTTAGCGTTAACTGTCTTTCAGATTTGTTCATATGTCTAGGAGGAGAATCCTGTCACCATCCCACCAAATTTAAATGCCAGTGGTGTGTCAAGGAGCCTTACCAGTTTCTTTCAGAGGGCAGCAAGCCCCAAAGATCCAGGCCATCTTCTGTTAAGGTGCCAGTCTAAGATAAAATGTATATTTAAATTAAGTTCCCACATGAGAGGTCCAAGAGGAATAAAAAGCAAGACTTATTTTAAGAAGTTACTGTCCAGAAAACGCCAGCACAATGTGGAGCAAAAGGGTTACCAGGCAATTCCTAGATTCCTAGAAAAACAAGAATTTGCAACAGCTTCTACTCAGACAACAAAAACTTAAGTACACAAGATTGGTCAGCGTGTTTCTAAAATACAGTGGAAACCAAATACCGTACTCTCCCACCCCTAGCACAGCTCCCATTACCAATAACAGCATAACCACCACACAGCCATTACTTTGTCAAAGCAGATGAGGTTCAGCTGTCCACACATGTTGATCCTTTGTGGGCTGATGCAGAAGATGCCCTTTTTCTTCAACCTCTGCTGGGTATAAATGATCCCAGTTGTCAAGGCAGCTGGAAGAGCTGGTGGGACAGCAATAGTGATAACATCCAAAGCCTTCTTTACCACCTCTCCTGCTTCCTCCTGACATAATAACAAAGGCAGTTACCAGGAAGAGAGCAGCAAGGAGTGTTGCTTACACCGAGTGCAGATCTCTTCATCCCTCCTCCCCTCCACTGCAGATGCCTCAGGCTGTACCATTTTCTGGTCATGGTACATTATGTATTACTCACTGCTAAAGAACTGAATGGGTTTCAAATTCGGGTCCCAGAACTGAGACACAGCACACTAAAGCCAATTTGCAGTTCAGAAAGACTTGCAAACCATCCCAGAGGTCTACTGTTACTACTTCTGAGCTTGAAACTTGGACCACAAATCATGTTGCATTTGATGTGCTGAATTGCCATCATGTTCTGATTATCTCTACATTGATGTTGTCTCTATCCACAGAAGGCACAAATTTGATAATATTTTTATCTATTTTATGTTAGAATGAAACACCACCCACCTTTAGATAAACAGAAAAGAAAATATTTAGTACATCCTTTGACTCCATATTACACTAGTCTGACAAGACAATTTCAGCAGTTGAGATAACATCAGCATGCATTTTAAATATTATAAGGAGGAAGCTAACTTTAAAAAAAAATGGGGGGATACTGCAAAGCAGGCTCCAGCATACATTCTTAAACATACAGTTTTAAACACACTTTCCTAGGGGGAAATAATTTTCTGAGCCAACTGATTGTAAATTATTCCCCAGGAGAAAATTATTCAAGAGCTGAATTACAGAATCAACCTTGCAACTCGGGACTGGGACATTACATTGACAGATAATTATCAAGGCATGAAATGATTTCTTGAAAGCTTTTGAAGAAGTTTTGAATCAGCAAGGCTTAAAAACTTTCAGAAATACTGTTTACAGTGCATAATTATTTCTTACATTGATCTCAGTGCATGAGAATGAGTTAAATGTTTTAGAAGGGTTTCAGGTGAACCCTCCAGAGATTTAGAGATTTAGGTGCACTAATAGGCCTTAGTTACCCTCCCTAGCCTCACCTCCATCCACACCTTCTGCTCATGGGTTCAGGAGCTCCATTTAAGCTCAGGCCTGGGCTGCTAGTCCCTGCCTGAGCCATTCTGCAGATGTACCTGCTTCTGGCCCACTCTCATGGACAGACACCTTAAGATGTGTGTTATAGCCTTATCTCTTGTCCCCATTTTCTTCTGCTTCTGACTGTGCTACCCAGATTATTTGCCACTTTGCCTTGCCTGGGACTGTTGATGGGCTGTTAACTGCACCCAGCTCTCCTCACCACCTTCAGGTACTGTGTGACTGTGCATTGGTCAGTGAGGGAACTATCTGTGTTCTGGTTACCCCCGGCTCCTGGCTTGCCTCCCCCAGGGAATAGCTGGCCCTTGCTGCTTCCAAACACAGTAAGTCTTAGTTCCACATCGAGATGTTGGTGACTCAACTGATACAGGATAGTTGCCTTTGCAAAGTTATTTCACCAGTGTTCTCAAAGGTATTAAGCTGAGTGATAACTAAATGTAGATTATCTCCCTTTCACTACCCCATCATCCCCCAAATGACTATACAAAGATATGGAGAAGAAAAAAAAAAAAAAAAAAGCTGAAGAAAACAGAGAGTTCTTTGTAACATCGGTGATTTTCAGGAATCTCGTTTACACTTGTAGTGTTCAAGGCTGTGTAACATGGAAGAAAGGTGGCTGAAGGGGTGACCAATGGTCTCTTAAGTTCATAACTGGTACAGGAAACATTAAACAGAAAACAGCTATTTGCTACTGGTGGTGCAGTGGCTAAACTGCAGCGCTGTCAACGCTGAGATCCGGGTTCGATTCCCGGTTAGGACACTCCCCGAGCAGATGGAGTTCGTTAGCCCGTAAGGCAATCCATCTACGTCCTGAGGACCTCGCTGCCACCGTCCAAGCTCGCTTGGCCCCGGCAGATGAACCTCAGGATTAAAGGGTGGGCTCAGTTCCGCGCACACTGTGTCTCACCTAAAAAATCCAATGCGCAGGCTGGAAGGTGGAAAGACCTTCCCCGGTTCTTCTTTCGCGAAGACTGGCCATTTAAAACAAAAACCTACAGTGCCTTCAGCATTTCAGAGAGCAGCTTTAAGAACACTTTTGGACAGTACATAATGAAAATGTGGCAATCGTTGCCACAGGTGCTGTCAAGTCCAAGACAAATTAATTCAGAAATAGATTAAACTTCCCTGGGGCAGATTTTCAGTGACTATTACAGCAAGATGATCCAGGTACAAAAGACAGCTTACTGAGCTGCTAAACCTTTCTCTTCAAGAAGTTAGAAGACTACACCAGAGAAGAATTGTTCTGTAGTCTCCCTCCTTCCTAACTATTTTCCATAAGCATTTGACATCAGTTACTCTCAGAGACAGAGGGCAGGGATAGATGGGTCTTTGATCTAAACTGAAGTTTCTGGAAAGTTGCCTTTTCACAATGAGATATCAGCCTGTGTCCCATTTAACTCATGACTCACTTGTGCTTTTTCTAGGAATTTACAAAAAAAAAAGCACCACAAAAAAGTCGGTAAAAGGTTCTTACAGAGTGGTAAACTGTGGATAAGGCATGAAGGGCTTGCATAGGATTTGCCAGCAGTGGGTTTGGCACCTTGGAATTGAATATATGAAAGCTTGTGTACTGTTGCCAATCCAATTGCATTATAAAATGCCCTAAGATAAAAAGGGGAGCTACAAGGACTAAATTTTTACATATAAATGCTTATGATGTCACTCAAGTTTCAAATCTCCTTAAAACTGTGACCATTTCTCCTGCATTTAGTAACTCACCCCATTAAGTGCAAATACACATATTGTGTAGATCATTCCAATGGCTGCAAATGCTATGAGGCACATCAGGAACCGGAGGGCATCTCTGTACAGCTTGAAGTTCATCGGTTTAGGGTAGAGAATGGACCTCACCAGATCTCCTTTGGCTGTATTGAAACCTAGAAAGACAAACTAAAATCATTCTGTGGAGAAAACATTTCCAAAAATTCTCTACAAAGAATGGAGGGCTTCAAAATTACTCAGTTTCTGCAGCTTATGAAAGAAGACCCAGATCTTTCATTTTGGTGTATGTGACCTAATCTACAGAACATAGAAAAAAGTTATTTTTGTCTTAAGGGGAAGAATTTTTTAATGTCTTGGAAGCAAAGCAAAATTCTCATTTGTAATCATAAGCTGGTAGTTCTTGTAAAAGTTATGCCAAGCAAAGAGAAACAATGCATAATAGCTTAGCCCAGCCCAGGGTAATGATTCTCCACCTGACTGTTGTGAATTTAGATTAATGTCTTTAATGTAACTGGATACATTAAATAAGACTGCAGCAAGAAAACTCATGAAAGGAAAAGCAAACTGAACTGTTGACTGACCAGTCCGCAGCACCACAGCTTTCACTACTCCTCTGTCGTCTGCCTTGGTCTGTATGACCTCTGTTCCACAGAAGAGGACATGTTTTTTGTAATCCTCTGCACAGTACGTTCTCCAGGGCTTAAAGTTATCAGCTTGGGGTAAGTGGGTCTTTGTTACTGGAATGCTTTCCCCTAGGAAAGATTAGATAAGGAAAACTGCAGTACACTTAAAAACAACCTGCAGAGGTACAAATAAGTACAGTACCTAGATATCTAGGTTGTAAGTCAAAGGTATTTACTAGAGAAACCAGTTTAGAGAAATTTGACTTTTACATTGTGACATCTACAGAGTGAATAGAGTTGAAGCCTAGCAAACAAACAGACTGCCAGAGAAGAGCTCTCCTTTGCATCAGTACAACAGCTTCCTGTAAGTCTGAGAACTGAAAGCAGTCCAAGGACGTCAAACCCTGGCTGTAGATATACAGATTTGAAAAGAAGCCTGAACTTCTGTTGCATGACTACGCTTGATGGTCACAAGTTGTTCACCTGGTTTGAACCTCATGTGCAGGTCACTAACTATTCCCTCAAGGAGATTAAACATGACATTCCCATTTTTCCTTCTCTAGTAAAAAGGAGAACTTTTAGCTCAATGCTTGACAGGTGACAAATACCCTGTTTATGTCAAAGCAGATACTAATGTGATGAAGACTAATTATTTTCTGACAGCTGAAGCTTTCTGGATGCAAGGGGTTTCCAGAACTTGTCATTTAAATGAACTTTCAAAACTATTGGTTTCCGTTTGATTCAGACTAGACCAAATTTAAAGACAAGAAACTATGAATACCTCCTGCACTTAAAATTCTGCTTTGTCATGAACTCTCCCACCTGGTATGCCCTCCACTGCTATGAATGGATGTGGAGCTAAGTCTCTGAAGGACCAAACAAACACTTCCACAGGCTGAAGATGTTGCAGTGATGGGACATTCAGAGTGAGTGGCAGGAACCCTAGAAGCCTGAACGGACTGGGGGCCCTGTGTGGGAAACACTTTGCTTCACATCTACTGTTTTTCTCGTGTCCTGCTCACTCCACTGTCCACTCTCTCTATTCTAATTAGAGGATCTCTTCCTAAATTCTGCATCCCAGAGGTGTAGAAGAGGATGAATTGCCCCTCCTAAAGTCCATCTTGTCTTTTTAGACAACTGATGACAATTTAGGCTTTATGATAGCAAACAACTGAGAATCCCCTTTTAGGCCAGAGTAAGGGTGTCTCACTGTAAGGATGATACATGATGACATCATATACCCTGTGTCACTGGTTGGAACCATGAGGCTATAATGATGTTTAGACGGCAAACCTGGGAGGGATGAGCTGTACCTGTCAGCATGCTTTCATTTACAATGCACTGCCCACTGATCAAGATGGCATCACAAGGCAAAAGGGTTTTGCCCTGTTTCAAAACCAGCATATCTCCAGGAACAAGATGGTGTGATTCCAGCTCTTGCAAATCTGTAAGTGACATGTTATGCAAACTTTATGCTTCATGTATTTCCCTGTGGTAAGGCGAAAAAAATTACAAGGAACTACCTGCTGAATAGATTCTTAATTCTTTATAATGGCTGATAAACAAAGGTACACAGTAGAACCTAAGTATATAACCTCCAATATTTAGGAAAGCCTAGGCATCAGTTCCAACTGCAGAATTCCTTCTTATCTCCCCAGGAGCCCAACCAGTGGTTATTGCTCCAACACACTGAAGAAGCCTGGATTTACGTTTCTTAGTTTGACTCCATCTTTTTGGATTGTGCTTTAGATACTTTGATAATGCACAGACTTTGCATGGAGCAATTAGGTGGACTCACAGCCATTCAATGGCTATGTACTTGGCTATGTCAGCACTGATTTCAGAAAAATTACTTTAGTTTTCCAGACAATTTTTTGCTAAGGGTGCACTTAATTATTAATGCTTAATGTGCCACAACGTACTTCTATCAAATTAACTTTATGTGCAGAAACAAGTTAAATGAGCTGGGAAACAGAAGGCAAAATTGCTCTAGAAGAAATTTGATACCATACACGCTTCTGTTTGATGTAAATTGTTATAAAACCAAAACACACTGAAGAAAGAAATGTGCAGGAGTCACCTTCCTTATTTCTGCAGACAGTGACCGTGACGTTGTTATGAGACTCAACCAGACTGTGAAGTTTAATCGATTGCTATAAATTAAAGGAGAACACACAAAAGTGTTACATCTTACATGATGCAATTTACCCACTAACAATTATTTCCATTTGTTATTTGTGGTTATGAGAGGCCTCAAACTCAGGTCTGGCCCTACCAGGAATTATACAGTCACATTGAGAAAGAAATTCCCCACCCTAATTATGGAGAAGGTGTAACAAAAGGTCACAAAGGGAAGCCCTGGAATGGGGAAGGGAGGATGTGGGTAAAGTACCTCACAGAGATTATGATGACTAGGAGGCCAGGTCACTGCACCTGCTACTACACAACATCATGGAACTACACCTCTGAGTAACTCTCATAGCACTGTGTGCATGTTGCAACATCCTGGCCTTTCCCAGACATTAGAAATAAATTCTCCTTGTGGAAAAAGGTGAGGTGTATCACCTGTCTGAGATCGTATACAGTCAAAAATACTGAGAGGAGAGACATGATTATGATGGCAGTAGCATACTCCATGTAATCTTCAGCAAACCACAGACACACACTGAACAGCTGGAACACGTAAAATGGATTTAGGACCTGTTTGGAGAGACAGCAATAGTAAAGAGCAGGTCACATTTAAATTGTACCAGTATACCTAGACAGTCCATCCTGTTAGAAAAGGGCAGGAATAAAAGATTTTAAGTGTTGTGTCTTCTGGCCCCCTTTCTAATTTTCTAAGCAGTGACTTCAGTCTGATCAGATTAAACCATTTCCATCTGACAGAAGGACCAGATAGTCTGGACCAATAGGATGCTATTTGGGATGTGAATGACTCAGTCCCATCCTCACTTTGTTTGCTTCTTACAAGAAATATAACAAAGGTGAGAGAAGAGCAGGTTGTGCAGTGAGCATGGAGCTTACATACCATAGGCACATCTCCACAAACACCCTGTTTTGGCCACATATAACCAGTTCCTGTCTGAAAAGATGCTGGTGCTTTACATGGTGCTGTGCCCAGTCATGAGCTCATTGTATCTCTCTGCAGCTGTGGGTATGCACCAGGTACTGCTGTTCACTTAATCTCTGCTGATTAAGAGACAGCCCTGGCCTGCAAGTTTTGATTTCCAGTGCAGCCTCTAAACATTCACTGGTCTTAATAAGGACAATACAATGAGCTCCCAGGACACAGATACAAACAAATACCAACCAGCCATACCGGCAGGGGGATGGAGGATAGGGAACAATGGAGAATAAATGAATTTATGGTGATTTCATGGAACAGCTTTAAACCGGATTTGAAAAAAGGATTTGCCTTTTGTAACTAAGATGTAACTAAGGGAGTAGTGGGAAGCTAATTCAGATATAGAATCAACTAAATGTATGTTCTGCCTCCCCAAGCAGCTTAGAAAAAATGCTTAACCTCTTTGATGAGTAGTTTCCAAATTGGGATCACTGGAACATCAATAGTGTTTGGCCCACATATAACTCTCCTGTATGGGAGAAAGACACATCACTTACAGATCAGTGAAAATATCACTCAAGAAACTGTAGATTTCAACATTCCTGAAAGCTCACATTAATCCCAGTTTAAAGGCTGTGAAGGTCTTCAAGAAATTAAATAATCTAAAACCAAGTAATTCTGAAAAAAGTTAAGAGTGATTTGAATGTAAGATTTAACATGAGCTAAGGTCGAGAGCTGCATTTCCATATTCAATCAACTGAAGATCACTTCTCTGTTTAGTGGTTTTAAGAATACACATTCTGTAACTTGTTTAGTGAGAATAAATAGTAGTTTATGAGAATAAATTCAATGACCAGGACTAGTTGATTTAGAAGTTCAATACAATTACATGGACCCCCACTGAAGAAGCAAACACACAACTTATCTGCACTGTTTCACAGAGACTTTCTCTTACTCCAAATAAGAACTGCTTAAAGATAGTTATAGAACATAGTTATTTCCTGATTGAGAACAGTAACGGTGATGAATACTGAATCATTTCAAAAACTTTGACAAGGAATACACAAAATTCTCTAGCCCTTTTCATTCAATATGTGCATGCATGGTTCTTTCACCTACAATTATGTGCATATTACTAAATACAGAAAAAACTACTGGAAAGTACATCAAGAGCAATGAATTTACATTTTGAAACCCATATGTTGAGTACTCATGTTTTATAATGTGTACCTGATATTCTGTTCATCGCAGGTGAGACCAGAACCAAATTTTGCATGTATAGCTGAACAAGTGTGGTGGTCTTCTAGGACTCTAAAATATAAAGGGAGTGTCTTCCTTAGGACATTATTCACAAAGAAGCTTAACTTCCTCAGAGGCTTGTATAACCAGTGCAGTGCACTCACCCAACTTTCTGGAACTGTTTTGCACAGATATTCCAGATATAGCGGATTTTTTGTACTTGGATAGTTTTCACCTGCAAAACAAGACAGGGACAAAAATACATGCAACATAGCAAACAAAAATTCTCCCAGGCCTGCTCATGTGTCTCAGCTAGGCATCCTCGCTGGGGTCAAGTAGAGATAAAGCAAATTATATGGGGACAAGAAGGGGAAGAAGACAGGATTGCATACACTAACTCTAGTTAAATTACAGAGTGGGATCCCCATCTCAGTCAGGTTCCAGTAAGCTTTAGAAATCCTCAATCAAGTGCAAAGCAGTGTTCATCTCTCCCACTTTTGTGAAAAAAGTCTTCACTCATTTCACAGCACAAATGGAAGAGATCACTGATGCCATGGTGGGTACATGGACAGTTGGTAAATCCTGTCTTCAGCCAACAAATCCCTTATCTTCTGTCTGGCTTTGAGGAAAGCAGGGGGCTTTGGGCCATTTCCAGGTATGGTGCTGAGCCCTTTAGCTGAACAGATATGTCAACAGATAAGAAAGGCCATCCCAGGATACTGAGTCACTGCTAATGGTAAGCCCTCGCAGAGCAGTTATCCATTAGGAACACACACTGTCATTTATAACTTGCAAAAGGAGTCTGTCCTGTCCTGTGCAACAGTAACGAAGCCTATTAGAGATAATGGTGCTTCCTATCAGCTGGCAGAAGGCAGGGCCATATACCTGTACACATTAGCAATAAAGAAATCAGCTCCAGGGGACTCTCAGCGCAATACCAGGGGACTACCCAGTGCAATAAGCATTATTACAGGCCAATGAAATCTGTACACAACTCACACGCTGTCTCAAAATGGAGCTGTAACCACAGTCGTTAACTTAAGAGGTCTGGAGTCAGGATTTCATGCAATAGGAGCTGCAATGTTTGCAATGCTAAAAACTGGAGTGGGAAATCAGGGACTCAGCTCTCTGTCAGAACAGGTCCTTGGACAGCTCTTGGGCATTACATATAACTCTGTAGACTTAGGTAGCTTAAATGGCAAAAATGCTTTATAATTGACTTATAATTAGGGCTTTGGAATTGCTAGTGAAGGATTAAACTGTTTGCTGTTTGCTGCTTTCAAATCTGGCCATTTCTATCTAGATGTTTTGATTGATATGAATTCAAAGGGCCTATTATTTGAGGCTATATTTGACTTTTTTATGTTACTAATTCAATCCTCTGAAAAATGTTACAGACCAGTCTCAACTTTCTTCATACTGTGCCCATTGATTAAACTAGTGGAAACTAAACTTTCTTATGGACATTAATATATGTCCGTACAAATAGCAGCATCAGCTTTGCTCAGCTAAAATTAGGTTTATAATAAAAATAATTATTAAAAATTGTTGTAGAAATAAAAAGAAATCTATTAAGTTAGAAATTTATTTCCTGAAAGGGAAATAGATTTTTTTTATGGATTCCTCAGTGCAGTGATCTAGTATCTATAATCAAGAGCCAGATATTAGCAAATGTATCATTACATTACTATTGCTCACATCAATTTAACATGTAAAGCTAAGCAGGACACATAACTGAACTGTCTGGTATTTGTTCTAAACAGGGGATAATTACATTTACTCAACTCATGAGGGACCTTGTCATCTGCTTGGATCAACTAATTGTCTACCTTCTCCCCAGTGCCTAACTGGGATCTCAAAGCTATGGAACTGACAGAGACCAGGATACATGTTTACAAGAACAGTTAACAGCACAAGATCAGACTCTAGCAAATGTACTTTAAAGCCCAGATTGGTGCATACAAAGGCAAGGAAGCAAAATGTCTTAATGAAACACTTCTGGAAATACTGATGCAGCTGTGCTGAGGCACTTTTCTGTTCTACTCCCCACAGGCTGCATTCATCCTTGTTTTCATGTTACTGTGGCATCTTGTTTAGGTTCTCTACAGTTTCCCTTCATATACAGTCACCCCTAAATTCCTTGATTCTTGTGCCAGGAATGAGTTTTATATTTGGAATTCTGATTCTTCACTGCCAACCCAAGTGTCCTGAAGTTCTCCTACTTGTAATGTAGGTTTTCTCTCAGAAATAGTGAGGATTCTTTTTTCATGACCCACCTCAGAGTGAGTACCGTTTTTAAAGAGGTGAGTACAGTTCTCCAAAATCTATCTTGTTTTTCCACAGCTCACTGTGATCCTCAAGCTGCAAGTTTCTTAGCTGGATAGGTTTCACAATTCACTTTCACTCCATGAAGTGTGGCTGAGATTTGCCATCATTTCCCCGATGCTGCAAGGAATACTTTACTTACTTGAAAACTTGGCTTCATTATGGCTTTGTTGAAGATTGAGTCTTCCTCAGCAGTGGCTGGATACTCTGATCCACTTTTGATGAATGCAGATGCAGAGATCCACGTCACAGTCTCACGAGAATAAATTCGAAATTCATCCTAAAGGAGTATAAAAGAGGAGTGTCACAATTTTCCCCAAAACCAGAACAAACTCATTATCACCTTGGAGAGAACGATTATCGTAGGCCTTTCTAGAGCACTGCCATAGCTTTTTGAAAGGATTAACCAATAGTAGACTCACAACACTTGTGAATGATAGAAAAATCAGCAGAATGGGAACAGAACCATTGTCCTGTCAAAATGTCAATACTGCAAATAATTCAATGACCACAGGTCTGGTGCTTGGCTGATAAGGGTGAACACCCAGATCATGATCTAGGATAAGCAAACAGGACAGGACAATCTGAGATGCAGTGACCATACTGTAAAGGGAAGATCAAAAGGAACACAGTGCTGTGCTGCAAAACGTTTAGTGCCAATACCTTCTCACAGTCACTCCTGAGTTAATACTTCATTGGAAGAAGCATGTTAACACCATACCTCCCTTATGGTATCTTAGACAGGCCTTTAACACAAACTGAGTTCATAATCTTCCTACTTTTTATAAAACAAATTTAACTTTGGAACTGCCTAATAGCAGTTGTCGGTAGAAATTGCTGGGTGAAATTTTCAAATGCCCAGAGAAAGCTTCAGAAAGCTTCTTGATAACAAGACCATATAATATAACTCAATTCTTGTTTAATTACATAAAGGATCATTTAAGATGCCGTTTATTTGAGATGTGCTTGGTATGGCAAATCTTTTTAAAATGACACACAAGATTAAGTAATTAATGCAAACTGAATTGAAGATGATAAAGGGCTATTAAACCTAATATGTTGTTTTAAAAATGAAAAACATACCCCCAGCTTGTTAGGAAGCACATTGTTTCATTATAAAATATTCAACAGGCAGATCTATGATGCTTAAAACCTGGAATTTTAACGGCATACTTCCCTGCTAATTTAAGAAGGCAGCTCAAACACAGTGGTACCAAGTGTTCCATTTTTCAATTGCAAACGTTGAAAACGCCATTGTTCAGGAATGTTTGAAGCAGAACAAATCAAACTTCTGGAAGTAAAGCAACCCTGCCAGCTCCTGGAATATTCAGGCTCAGCTGGGATTCAGAATCCAGTTTCAGTTTGCTTCCTTTACTGTTGCAGTAGCTTCCATAAAATAAAATCAGGGTTTTCATATGTTGCAGTGCTTCAGTACAGTCCTCAGCGGAGAGGAACCTGCATTAGGAAACTACTAGCAAACCATAACAGCTCTGAAAGCATTAACTGCAGGACTGTGAGCTTACTGGACAGGGTGAAGGGCTGATGGAAAACAGAAACATACAGCCAAGGAAACAAACAACCTAAGCTTACCCTCCTCCTTACACTGATCCTTCATGACACACTGTTGGACACTGCTGGGAACAGAGCTAGACAAACCTTTAGTTTGGCTCACTAGGTAAATTTGGGCAGAGAGAGGCATCTTCACTGGGACAGCCAAGTTTGGGAAAAAGGAGGGAGGAAGGATCTGCTGGACACTGCCAATCAAACAGATGCTTTAGAATCTGGAGCGCAGAATTACAGCGTAGAAAGCACAGAGGTGGTAGAAGGGAGGAGGAAGGACTAAGAATAAATAACACCATCTTGAAAGCATAGATATTACAAGTTTTATCACCCCAATTTCTTGCAGCTTGTCTGATCAGCTGTTATCACCCATTCCAAGCATCATCATACACATAATTTGTGGAATACTTGAGAATTCTTTAGATCAGTGATGGTACACATAAAATATTATTGAAAGAAACCAGCAATGTAAGAGATTTGGCTAACTATATTGCTTTCAATTAACTTTTCTTCCAAAGAACTATATCCTAAGGACTAATCAAAAGGTTAAAGTAGGCACTTACTGTTGTTCTGAGGAGAACAATATCTGCTTCTTCCAAGCTGCACCGGATGCAGTTTAGCCACACATTCCACTCTGGCTTCCAGTGAAAGAGCAACCACAGAGCCCCACAGGATAAGATGTATCCAGTAATGCACAAGGCCTTTCGGCAGCTTTGAGTTTTGTAGCCAAATATGTCCTGTACAGCAAAGACAAGGGAAAAATACTATTATTTAAATTACTATTAAATTACTTAAAATACTATTTGTCCTAAAGAAATGCCTGGAATACTATACCTTCCCCTTTGTTACATATCTTAAACATGACTACAAAAAATTTGCCTCTTCCACAAAACTTTTCATCCACCTTCACAAAATCTGTATTGCTGTAGCCTGACCAATATTTTTATCTAGTAGTTATGAAACTCAGCCTGAAACATTGTTATGTGTATGCATGAGCAGGAATAATAGAAAAATATAGAGGTCCTAACCTTTAGACCCCAAGTTAGGAATAAATATTTGTCTGATCAGCTTTTTTAAAGTTGCTGGGTGAGACAGGGGAAGAACTTAAGTACATCTACACCAGGGGAAGGTGAGTGATGGGTGCAGACCCACTGCAGTAGATGAGGCAGCTTCAGCATCAGAAGCACTGCTGCTGCCCTGCATTAATGCACATACACTTCAGAGAATCAACCAGTGTCTCTGCTTGGTGCTGAATGAAAGACACTATGTACCTGCACCAGCTGGAGCTGCTGTGCACAACTTGGCACAGACACAGCCTTTGTAGCTGTTACCATCCTCCATGATAGCTCCAGTATGGGGAATCTGGGGCTTGACAATGTACCATTGGCCCAACATAATAATAACTGTTAGTAAGAACAACTAATGAATACCTGCAGAATGCTTTACATGTTCAGAGGGCCAAAAGAAGCTACTTATTGTAGCTGTATGAGTGGATACTATTATTATTCCACTTTTAAAGCTGGGGAAATGGTTACAGTGAGGAAAGGTGACTTGCCCAAAACTTCAAAGGGATGACTGTCAGCATTACAGTGTAAGAGCTGCAGGTCTTGGTACCACGGCCAAATTTCTTCTCAGTACTGCTAGCAGGGACATGGTAAACATGAAATGAAATGTATACAGTGAATTTATAGAGGAGACCCAGCCTGTGCTAAGATGGGACATTGCAAGGCTGCAATTATATCAGGTGACCAGGAGAATTTGCTAACATAAGGATTAAAGTTCCTCCATCTCCTTCTTCTTAGTATATCTGCAGCAACTGTGCAATCTGTTTCTGAAGATCAGATATCTGCAGCCATAGATATTGCAAGATCCATTTATAAGGTGAGAAGAAAAGGCAATGTAATTGCAAGATGAGTAATGCATAATTCCGGGTTCTGTGCTGGTGTCTTTGCTTGTTATGTGAAATTCAGGCCCTGCCCAGAGGTTCCACACACTGCCTCGGCACACCTGCTCTATGGCATTCTCCAAAAATCACACTCTGTCATCCTAGGTAACCTCCAAGAGGTTTCTAAAGGGAGGAAGTTGGCAACTGTGGGGAAAAACATGCAGTAAACTACACTGGGAAGTGGCCTGCACTGCACAGGACCTGGTTATACCACCTATGAGATGCACACAGAGAATTTTCAAACGCTTCTATAATCTCTGAGCAGACCAAGAGAATAAGGCAGCCCTGCAGTGGACAGAAGGAAGCCCATGGAGGACAGTAGATAGTCAAGGTTGCTAGAAGGTAGTTGCTGTGGCAGTCATGCTATTAATATTCTTATTCCCATAAACAGGTAAAGGCTCTCCATTCCTCTTTCTAGTTGTATCCTTAAGTAAGAAGTTACAGAATAAGTGTCAGCACCAGCATTCAAAATAGTACATACACATAGAACAGTGTGAATTTACTGTTCACAGCAATACTAGCAAGATTCAAATGCTTGGATCCAGACTTTACAGCTTGTCAGCAAGGCAAAGGAACTCCCAAGAAGTCAGAGATGCCTAAGGGAAGAACTGTTAAAAGAATATGCCTTCATACTTCATTCAATGTATGGCTGGACCTGGAATAACAGGAACAATATTTTCAAATTGGCATGGTCATGAATGTCAGGGTGGGGAAGAACAAGATTGCTGCCATGTGCATCTTACTTTTGCCAGTGAATCATTCCTTTAATTTTCAACTTTTGTGTCTTACACCCAACATCTGAGAAGTCAATAAGGCTGTAGCTAATAAAATTAAGCAGGGGGAAGCTGAGTGCTCTGCATGTGATTAGCAGTCATCGGGATCATCTTCTGTTGGCATTATTCTTCTCCACTGAAATGCTCAGTGATTCCCCAAGCAAGGTATGACAACATAACCACAGACCTAGTACAGACTCTGTATTTTTCTGCCTGGGAAACCATGCATCGATATATGAAAATACATATCCAAGTCCACCTAAGTCTGCATACATTTTAAGGCCTTTTTGTTTCAGAACAGTTTCCATTTAAAAAGGGATTTGAATCTGTAGATTTCAAGGCACTTCCCAAAACCAAGCATGCATCAGTATTCCTTATCTCGAAAAATAGAAGAGAAGCAAACAAGGAAAACAGCTCATCTGGGAAAAAAAAGGCCACAGTCTTTAGGATACAATTACACTGTGTGATGGATCTTTCTGCTTCCCACAAGGGACTTTCCTGAGACAGATGGATAGATAGATAGATAGATAGATAGATAGATAGATAGATAGATAGATAGATAGATAGATACCAATGAGCTGTTATGACCCATCAAGGGCATGACCTGCTGTATAAACACAAGAGTTTGTTCAAGTTTTTTGGTTCATGTCTTGATAAATGTGATATTTCGTAATATAGTTGTTCAGGAGCTCTACAAGGAGTAAGCTGGGAAAGAATAAACTTCAGATGTGTTAACTGCTGTTTTGTATCTGGGTGTTCATGAAGGAATTTAAAGTCAAAGCCAAAGAAGAGCATTTCCCACGGTTTGGAAATGTCTGGAGCTGTTTACCTGGGTCACATCATTCAGAAGTAAAGCCAGGCAGGGAAATAGACTGAGTTCCAAACCTCTCTTGTGACAAAGTTCCCTGAGCCGGAACCTTTCAATACTTAACTTCAGAACAGAATGTTCTGTTAGGTTGAGGAGTTTTTCCTGACCCTGTGATTTCAGTTGGAAGGATTATAGCAATGAATGCTGCATTCATAAAAAAAATTTAATACATGAATAAGTCCTTGTTGAAACAGAGACTTCTCACTTGTCCAATAAGTCAACATTGGAATTCTTTAGAAGAATTCTCAAAACTATTATCTTCTCTAAAAAAAGGTGAATATTAGACCCACAAAAGAGATATCCAAAATGTGCATGAAGAAGGTAGGAACAGGCACACACATGATGCAGGTTTATTCAGCCACATGGATGACTTATAGTAATCAGAGTTTAGAAATTCTTCACGCTTATTCAGGATTCACTTGGCCTGTACTACAAAGATTTCCAAGCAAATGCATGTCAACTATGGCAAACAATAATTTCAAGACTGGCAGAAGTCCTGGTGTTGATGTCTCCAGTAAGAATACGTCTGTCAGGTTGGTTTTATGTTGTTAAGGAAACAACTTCTGTTGCATTTTATTTCATTGCGCACAGAGGCTGAGCTGGTGCAGACATGCTTCTTTTGAAGAGGGGTCTGATGAATACAGGTTTGCACCTTGGCAATCTCTCTAGTGTCTGAGCAAGTTTTTAGAGTTCATTGACTGTGTTTGGCACATATAACATTTCACAGTCAAATAACCTGGGTTCTTGAGTGCACCAGACTAAGATATAATGTAAAACAAAGCAAAGATTAACGATATGTAAGACTCCAAAGGACTTCTCATTATCTGATAGAAGGTGATAATTTCTACAAAATAGGCTGGTATACAGTACTCATCTCATCTCTGTAGAACAATTTTTAATAAATTGTAGTGTACTGTGAAACTTTGTTTCCTCATCTGTAAATATCCTTTTTCTATTGAGACTCCCAACAGTCAGAAGAGTGACTGTAACAAAATGGTTTGACTTGTGAGTGAAGGGTCTAGGGAGGGACCCTGGATTATTGGACAGAAAAAGCTGCCAGACCTGCTCAGTTGGCAAGAAAGGTTCTTAGCTTCTTTTACAATCATACAAAGCCAGCATTCAAGGGCTTATCACTCTGGTGTCCAGCAAGTCTTTGTTACTTTGTTAAAAAGAAAAATGCCTCTAGCTGTCAGGTCATCTTCTCAGCAGAATTTAAATGCAAAATCAAACAAATTCAGACACCCTCTTCTTTGTTGAAAACAAAGCCTGTAGCTACCAGCAGGGAGCCTAAACAATGGCTGTGAACGATCATATTTCTGGTAACCCAAACACCAGGTATCCTATTAGGAACAACTTGTTTCTATAACAACAGGTAATAGGATTAGACTTGAAAGACTGGTTAAGATTCACAAGGAATTTAATAACTGAACCTCATTCTTACCAACCAGAACCTGTTTCATTAGAGGTTTTTTTTTCTGTTCCCTCTGAAAGCAGTAGCAACATTCATTATTATTCCATTAGCAACAAGATTGTACCCTTCAGATTCTATTTTAATTTTAAAAGTTAAATTTTTCCAACTCAATATATTTAAAATTCCTGTATCAGATTTTATTCACAATTTTGGCATCCCACAGGAGGCAGATAGCTGCCAGTATGCATCGGTAAACTGGGGGTCACCAGCTGACTGCAGTTCTCAATTCCTTCAGCCAAAAGCCATAGGGGAACACATGCTTTAGACAGGCTTCTGGCAAATTCTTCCTGAAGCAGTAGCCTGTCGAAGTCTATCACTGCAAACTTAAGCTTCACACCTTAGGGTCTGTGCAAAGTGAATGATTACTCCCAAGCTGTACTGAGAAGAGCATCAAATTGGCAGAGGGCATAAAGCTGTGTTTTTCCTTCCTCCTCTTATTCCACCAAAAATTTACTTCTTCTCAAAAACACCTTCAAGTAGATTTTTCTGAAGGATAGCATTCTCTGAGGCAAGCTACTGTGTCCAGAGTGCTCTCACACTACTTAGATCTTTCTGGTACTACAAATGGTTACGGAGAGAGAGAGAAAGAGAGAGAGTTTATCTCATGCTCCAAATATACTTTGCTAAGTTTTAGCTGCATACCAGAAGAGTGAACTTCCATTCAAGCAAATGTTCACCGACCACATAAGGTAATCCCAAAGACACACACAAGGACATACAGGGTAGATTTCCTACCCAGTCAGAGTGATTACTCTTAAATGTGACACATTCAGTCTCATCTTAAAAACCTCCAGGGATGGTGAATCCACCACCTCCCTGGGCAGCCCATTCCAATGTCTGATTCCTCTCTCTGTAAATAATTTCTTCCTAATATTCAGCCTAAACCTCCCCCGGCACAGCTTAAGGTCATGCCCTCTTGTCCTAAAGCATTTCTTCACATCAGAGATCCCCAACTTTCCTCAGCAGATTGGACAGCTTGTTCAACACAGGGAAGCACTGTATGTCCAGAGTTCAAATGAACTACTTGCTTGCTCTCAAAATTACTTGAACCATTCTACTCTGGAAGAACTGGCATCCACACAATGTCAGCTGTTACGTTATTACACCAAGTGATCTGATTTTGTTTGAGAAGTCAAGAACTGCTTGTTAATGATTTGATTCAGGTGGATTAAACTGACTGTCGAAACAATGTCAAAAATCTTTTTCATGGCTTTGAATTTTAAAAAAAGATGTTGCAGGGTCACTGAGACATTACATGCCACTGCCAGTTGCTGTGGTTGCCAGTAATTTAAAATACACTACTTTAACAAAGAACATCTGCACACAATCTTTATCTCATGTATTCTCCTTTACTCTTCTGCTTAAACAGAGTCTTCTTTGTCTCTTTCTTCACACCTGTTCTCACCTACATATTAATTTTTTTTTTTCTGTCACACAGATACACACACTAGCTGTTCTCCTTTTCTAAAGACACATGGACTTTTTCTGCATCCTCTTACAGTACCTCATACACCTTCATGGATATCTTCCTCTTTCTCATACTCATACCTTTTTTCTCTCTTACATATATGTAGCAAACACAAGTGCATTCTTGCCTAATCTAGCATAAATTGGCTATGGTTTAAATTCCACTTACTACTCAAGTTCTTTATCAGTCTTTTTCTTTGATTTCCATTTGAGAATCTCAGGTGAATGAGCACTGATCACGTTCACTGCAGACATAGAGAGCAGGGCAACTGTGAGACACTCTGGATTCACAGTGGAGACGGACTCAAATGTCAGATTCACAGTGCAGACTCCCGAGCACCCAATTCAGGGCACATGGGCTCACTGTGATACTGGTGAGAAACAAGAACATTGGGATAACTGGCTCCATCCAAGCACAGCTTGAGTGTCCCAGTAGTGCTCAGCTGGAAATGGACTTGAGAGTTTGATAGTGTGACTGCACACAGAACCAGACAATCCACTTGAATCTAATTGGCTCAAACTCAGTTCCGGCATTGTTAGTGGCAGTGCCAACAGCGGTGAGAGCATGACAGGGTGTTGATGGTCCTAGAACAACAACGCAGGGTGGAGCACTAACACAGACCCAGCAGCTGTTTGGAGCTGTGGATCAGTGGTACATTGGCACCAGGGCTAGAGCCAGGAGCAAGATGCCTCCAGCAGTTTAGTAACTCGGTGGCAGAGCCAGTTGGGTTCTGTGTTGCACTGAGCTAATTAGTCCCCACCCTCAGAGCCAGAGCCTTGTGCTCCCTGCACTGCTCAGTTCATGCTGCTGGGTGACCCTCTACTACATTCTCCAGCACATCCCAGATTACCCAGGTTTGCATTACACAAAATGTGGCCTTTCTCTTTCCCTGTATGGCTGGGAGAGCTGTCTGAAAATCTACATTCATATCTAGAAATAACAAATGTCCGTGTTTTCCCATGACACAGTCCCTTTTTCACTAAAACAGAATTCTCAGCAAGGAGATTTTGAGGATTTCTCCAGGGTTTCTGAAAGTGAACAGTCATGTTTATTTGCAAATAACTGTATTTCAATAGCTTTGCTGGGGCTGTTGTACACCAAGATATACTGCAAGTGGTCACAGCAGAGCTACAATGGCTTTTCAGCACAGGAATTTTGAGAAGTGCTGAATTTGCCAGATGTGTATGAGAATTGTTGTTGTACAGCTGCATTATGGATCTGATATCTCTAACAGATGGACAGAATCCATGTGAATAGCTGATTCATAACACGCTGTAATGCCAAAGAAGCTCAGAAACACCACATTCACTTCAATCGTATACTGGGGTTATTATTGAAGAGAAGTGCCAGGCAGGAGATCAGATACTTTGTGTAAGCATAAGACTTACTTCCACATGTTACAAAATGCATGCAGACATATTCCTCCCTGGGAAACTCTGGAAAGAAATATGGTAGCTCTGTGTTCAGGAATCCAGCTTTATAAAGGTGCTTAGGCTGGAATAGTATTGCCAATTCAATAGACCACATATGCCAATAATTTATGCAAACATAACACATGTTTCTATATTTCAGAAAAAGCCAAGGCTTCCAGTTCCCTAAGGGGAGCTGACCCTGGAGTTTCAGCTGTCAAATGGTTAGGGACACCACTCTAAACCATCCATAAAGCTCATATTAGAGCACTTCCACCTAAATTTGTAACACCACATCAATAATCTGTTGAGCCATTCCCTGTTGGAGGGGATAAGCAGTTAAATCCAGTGGACACAACCAACACTATTTTCTTTCTGCTAAAAAAAAAAAAAAAAAAAAAAAAAGGTATCCCTTTCTAACTGTTTGTTCTGTCTACAGGAACACCCCAACTAGTCAATTCAATTACAGTCTGTAGCATTTTGTTGCAGAACATACACCACCTTCTACTTCAAGCAGAGAAAGACCTAGACATAGATAAAACTCACCATCTCATTCTCTTCTCCCTGGTTAAGCTGTGCATAATGGTTCTTGGCAGGACTTTCCCCCATGAAATGACCCTCTGGAGACTTTCTAGAGCACCCTCAGGACAGGTCTTCAGCATAGTGTGCTTGAAATTCTACATTGAAGAAGTGCTTTGAGTACACAACTTCCTTATAACTCTGCTGATGTCTGAAGTATGGAGCTCCTCCCTCTCTGGGGTTAGCAGGTAACATTTATCCCTCCTCCCTCCATTCTGTTGCTGGAGGTTTGCAATTCTGAGAGTATGTGCAGAATTCACTCTATAACATTGCAAGATAGAAAAAGTTCAATCTCACAAGTGTTTGCCACAATATGACTCTGGGTCATTTAACTCTGATAGGTGCAAGCAAGTGCTGTTGGCATGAAACTTTTAGGGGAGGGTAAGAGGGGAGTATTTTTTATTCAAGAGATTATGGAATCACTGGAGACCAGGAGCGTGTCCAAAGAAAGCAAATAGGCATTGCTGTTGTTAACACTGTTAACAATCAGTCTGAACTAAGTGTCCAGCAGTGATCCCCACATATGCCCTGGGAAAAAAATCCAGGCTCTGGAATTGTAAACAAGGGCCCAGTTTGTGCAGGTGGATTTATGCACTGATTCTGTGTCAGGATCCAGCTATGTAGGATCTGCAACCAGATTGTTTATTCATTATTAAGAATATCATCATGTAATGCCTTTTGACCTCATTATATAGCTTTGGGAGACGTCACTGAGATTATTTGCTCACTCTTGGGGGAAACTGGAGTTTCCTGCTGGTGTCAGTGAGCTGGATATAGGTGTCTCTGACCTTCAAATCAGAGCCAAAAGGAAGCTGGCAGGAAAACAACACTGAGGGTTTTACCACCACTTCTTTTTTTTTTTTTTTTTTTTTTTTTTTTTTTTTTTTTGGTCACTATTGGGCTGTATTTGTTTATTAGTCTTGTGATTCATTCCCATTTCTCTACTATTTCCTTGTACTTTGCTACTTTTTAAGAAGTTACACAACAAATATTTTAGGAACGAGGTCAAGAAAGGAAAACCTGTTCTTCCAGCAAATATGTTAAGAAAACTAAAATATTATTTATCGGGAAACTGAAACAGATCAAGAGTTAGCTCCTATTCCTTAGGTATGTGGCATGGACTTGTACAAGTCCCAGATAACTCAAGCACTAGGAAAAACCACTGCCTATCCTTCAGTGGATAGGCTGAGAGAAACTGAAATGGGAGAAATGAAGGAAGTTAGGTCAGTTAATATAATAAAAGTTGCTTACTGCTAATAATGTGAGACAGGCACAGACCTGCAAACCAGATGTGCAGGACAGGGACAGATGTGTTTGAAAATACTGCTGATGAGCAGGTGGCATTGGAGTCATCTGGCCTTGACACCTGCCACACTTCCAAAAGGAGCCCAGAGGAGAGGCTGGACTGAAAAGGATACATCTGTCCTAAGCTGTGTTAAGGATGATTAATTGCATAAGATCAAGGGGGAACAAGGTGCTCTCCATACCCCAGCTACAGTGGTACCTCCTCCTTACTCCCATTGCAACTCTGAGGCTCAATTTGAGCCTCTCAACATTTCAGTTTGTTCTTCTGAGAGTGAGCAAAGGGAAGTTCAGATAGTTCATGAGAGTCGTGATTTTCAATTAAAACTTAAAAAAACCCCAATGCATTAAAGTCCATTTCTGATAAACCTGATTACACAGGAAAAATGAGCATTGCTTTCTAGAACCTATAATAGGCAGGAAACGACTGCAAAGGTACCTTTTCTAAGGCAGGCTGATGATTTTGGGAAATGACTCATTATTTTGGGAGTGCCAGGGATGGAAAATAGGAATGTCACACATGCTTTTTCCGCCTGGTCAGCTTTTGCTGCTTTCCCAAACAGCAGCCTTGCTCTTTCTGGTGTCTGTAGCAGAACAAGGTGCAGCAGAGGTCCTTGGCTGCCCTGTCACAGACTGGAGAGATGAGCTGCATGCAGAGTATCCCAGCAAACCAGGGTCTCCAACAAAGAACCGAGACTCATACAATCTTTTCACTATTTAAAGGTTTATTCCAGCGCCAATTGACAGTCTGTGCTCCTACAGAACACCCTTATATGGGTATTTATCTTTGCAACTGAAAACCAAGAAAAAACAGATTAAAGGTGTAAAACTTTAATCTTTTCCACAGTTTGACAATCTCTCATAATATTTCATCAAAATCTGGTAATCCAGATCCAAAGAAGATGGTGACATTTGCTCATTTCCCTAAGCAGGTTCACGATCTCCTAGAGACAAGACTTCTGAAGAATTCAATTCTCCTGAATTGGAACATTTAGTTGTATGACGCCCTCTACTGTTCAGAGTGAGAATTACTCTCTATTTATACATAAAAAGTTATTTGTAACACGTCCTATGGAGTATATTCATTCTTATTTTTCAGTTGACACTTGCCTTTAAAAAGTCAGACATAAATAACAAATAAAACTGGTCAAGCCAAAAGACAAAAGCAAAGGTTAAGATTTCAAATATAGTCTCTTAAACTTATAAATACATAAATAGTTGAAAAGTAGGGAAGCAAGATGCAAAAGCATGTGCCTCACCTCATCCCAACAACTTTTCTCAGTCCTGAAAATACACATATGTAGTATGTCATCCTTGTGCAATTTTTTTTTTTTTCTTTTTGAAAATCCCACAATATAAACAGAAGCCTGACCTCTACACCACCCCAAACCTCGGTTTTGGTTTCTCAGCACATGACACACAGTTCTGGCCACATTACTGAAATAAAGCTGTGAATCAACTGGCGACAGGTCACAGGAGAGCACTGAGAAGAATGACAAATGAGTCCTAAAATATGGAAGAGCGACTTAGGGTTGTTTTATTTAGAGGAAAAGAGGAGGGGAAAAAACCAAAACAGAACAAAACAAAACCAAAACCAAACAAAAAAACCCCACAAGAGATTGAGAAGGTTCATGGCAACAGTTTTCAAACACATAATCTGAGAAAATATCCCTGTTCACTTTTGATAGAGTTAATTTGCTGCAGGAAAGATTCAGATGAAACATGAGGGAATACTTTCAACAGTGGCACTGCCAGGCGAACACTCGAACACCTGTGGTCTTTAGGGACAGGTGTGGAAATTACCTAACCACAGGCTGTCCTGTGTGAGGGCAGATGAACAGATCTGATGAACTCTCCCAGTGCATCCTCTGCCTCCCACTTCAGTGTAGTCCCGCCGGAAAAAAACCCCAACAGCCAACAGAGGCCCTCTGGGATGCACCTTGTGTTTTCCAGCTTTCAAGGCAGCAATGCTGCCCATGTCAAGCACTCTCCAAGGGCAACAACTGGGGACTCGTATGAGACTCTTATTTAAACAGGGTGTAAGACTCTAGTACCACCAGATGCCTCCACCTAGGGCTGGGCTTCTCCTCATCACCCTCCCCAGCCCCGGCCCACCGCGGCCCTGGGGGTGCTGGGAGAGCCCTGGGCAGCCAAGGGCACAGGGGCGAGATGCTGAGGGCAGCCCTGATACCGCTGGGGTGTGAGGGGCACAGAGACGCGGAGGGGGGGATCCATGATCCCGGTGTGCTGGATCCGTGATCCCGGAGTGTCGGATCCGTGACCCCGCTGTGAGGGATCCGTGACCCCGCTGTGAGGGATCCGTGACCCCGCTCTGAGGGATCCGTGACCCCGCTCTGAGGGATCCATCCCCTCTCTCCGCTCCCGGCCCCGCAGCCCTCGCGGTGCTCTCTCAAAACCCTCCCCCCCCGGCCATCGCTGCGCCCGGAACCCTTGGGGAGAGGCGCTGTTTCCAGCCGGGCGGGCCGGGTGGTGCCCGGAAGCGGCTCACACTGCCCTTGCCCTCATCCCGGCCGCTTTCCCGCGGCTCCCGGGCCGCTCCCGGCTCTTCCCGGCCCCCAGGATGTGGCGGACGCGGGCAGCGGCGGCTTGGTAAGCGGGACGGGTCAGGGCGGGCGCGGCGGGTTGTCGGGGGCCTGGCCCTCGCGGTCGGGGGTCGCGGAGCGGGCCTGGGGGTGCCCCGGGGCCGGTACCCCGGGCGGGGCATTCCCCACCCTCCAGCTCTCCGAGCACCTGCGGGACACGGTGCCTGTGGGAGGGAGCTGTGTCTCCCACATTCTCGCCCTGGGGAGCTCGGGCCGCTCTTATGTCCGAGCGTTTTTCCGTCCCTGCATCCCGCTTGTTTTCCACCATTCTCCTGCACCTTTCCAGACAGGAACAGGGAAACTCAATGGCCGGCAATAGCACGATTTTCCTTGGTAGGTTTCATAGAATCACAGAATGGGTTGGGTTGGAAGGGGACCTTGGAAAACATCCAGTTCCAGCCCCCATCTGGGAGCAGCAGTAGGAAAATAAACACCTGTCTGGAAGGCTAATATTTGTTGTTGTTAAAAACAGCTTTCCAGAGGCATTAAATTGGAACTCCTTAAGTACTTGATTTAATAGCGTATTATAGCATTGTTTTCAATCTAACTGCACTGTTCAGTGAAAATTTGAAGGTGTTCTCTTTGCTAGTGTTCATGGGGAGTTTTTAGCAATGGGAGGAGAGAAGAAAGAAAGTAGAATTTTGGTATAATGAAAGAGTAGTGGAGGTTTTTAAAATGAATCATAAGATTTCATATTAATTAAAGGAGACTGGGTTTGAAATATGCATAACACTCAAAAGGCAATTGTTGATTGAGTTCTTGCCTTAAGACTATGTAATGGAATTCAATTTTTCCTTCAGTTTAAACATACAGACTGAATGCTGTCAAACAGTGTGTTCTGAAAGAACGGTCGCAGAGAAGAAAGTAACATAATATTACACAAAATGCCTTTAGACCAGGTGAAGACAAGTAACGAGGAGTAGCTTTCACAGAATGTGCTACCATGGGTCTCTGCTGAAAATATTAAATATCTGGGTAGTGGTAATGACTGCAAAACAAAATAAAGAACAGCTCAGTCATTAACTGCTTGGTACTCCCTGATTTAAAAACCTGTCTTCAAAAGTGGGAAATGAAACATTTCCAGTGTGGAGGCATTTTTTTGATTGGTAGTAGCCACTTTTATATTGGCA